TCAGGCTGTAGAAATGTGAAATGCTACATGTTGTACGACCCCATTTGCCTTTGCCGTGACAATAATTTTACACTCTCTATTTTACGGCCAGCTAAATAATGACAATTATTAAGAAACGAAAAAGCAGAATCGTGCGCGCCTGCTCGCGTTTCTGTTACTCTTGCGGCCAATTGTCGCCAATTGGAGACACGTCTTGAATTCGAAACCTTTATTACACTAATACATACTGTACTATTATCTTCACGAACATTGTATTTGTTTCTCTCTGCGATTACAGCGCGGAGAAAACAAATACAATTCTTTTTCCAATGTTCAGTTTTTCTATAATAATTGACGCCAACGCGCTGTACAAACAATTACATCTCACGACGTAAAAGCAAATTGATTAATGAGTATGTGCTCTGTAAATGTTCATGAGGAGATGAGATTTTTTTTCCTTCTCTTTCGGAGACGACACAAGTGTTCCGATTGTATAATTACCTGCGATATTATTTCTAAATGTTATTCTCTTTCTTGTTGTATCTTAATGATCTTTTTTACAATATTTTTTTGCGCACGTTTGAAACTCTCCTTTGGAAATGGGTGAGTGTAAGTTGTCAGAGGCAAATAATGAGAAGAGGTAATAATGAGAAAGCTCGCGCCTTCTTTATTGACATGTTACACGGTAATAACGTATCTCGAGGTCGTACATGCGATGTTACGTTAGTTTGCGAGCAACCTTGTGATGGAGGAAATGAAATTTGCTAACGTTACGTGGGGATCTTTGATGTCGCGTACTTCTTGGGAAAATAATCGCTGACACACTTCAGCACCGGTACGTATCGCGGAAATGAACGTCGTCGAACGTTACACAATTAGCACACGGATTTAAGAAACAATATTTGGCGTCTCTACAAACATTTGCCGGTCGTTGTGGACCTTCCTAGAACTCGTTGCATGGTTACGCATGTCGATATAGGATGGGCTTACCAAATTTAACGATAGCTCGACACTTAGATCGCGTAACATCCTGTGAGGAAAGACCAAACTCGATCTCGAATTCGCGGCGAGAAACCGGCCGCTGCGAACAAAATTTGAAAAACGGACACTCCATACGGACGAAGCAGGAAGACGAGGAGGAGGAGAAGGAAGAGGATAAGGAAGAGGATTTGGCTTAGACGATGTGACGATTTATTGTGCCACTTAAGCGATCGCTAAGCGATCGTTGTTTTGCCTATAAAATATCCAATTCTACGATCGGAAAAAGAGCGAAAGTCTAAGCTACCATTCAAATCAATAAGCGGTGACATGGAAATACGTTTCAATATCTATCCTTGAAAATAGATCGCAAGCGAGATATCTTACGAACATGTTTCCCTCTTGCACGTTGAACAGCTCACTGTTTAGAATATTGCAAATTATCAGCGTACTATCGACGTGCTACCGATTCGCAATCGGTGAAAGAGAGCGTGGTAATTTAAAACTCGTTAAAATTCTACGTCGCGAGCATTCGAGCAATTAGATTAGAATGTAGATGCGCTAACAAGAATAAGTGCGATGATCTGGGAAGATATATCAGAGAGACAAAGATGTATATTAGCGTTTGCCACGAGTTCGCCGCACATAAAACTTGCAACTTTCCGCTAATTAATTGATGAATCCAAATAACAGCAATTTCGTGGAATAACGAGTGAATAATGTTAGAAACTCGCAAGATTTGGATGTCGATTGCTGAGCAACGGTCGACAATCATCAACAGTTTTTAGAATTCTCGGATTTGCGTTTGTCGCGCATTCGCAGCTAATGTTGCATCCGCAATATACAAGAAATTTCATCGCGGTCCGATTCTAATAAGTGAAACTGCTTTCAAGAGGTTTGTTCTTACAACAACCAGTGTTCAGTTAACGCCTGCTTGAAACGAAGGGAAAAGTTGTTCGATAGAGAGTGGTTACACTTCCTTTCTCCTGCACTGAGCAGGCAGGATCGTTTCTATCGTAATCATTGACATTCCCAGGCTGGACAAAAGTCTGCTGATCGGAGTCGCGGTAATTTGATATCGATATTTGACGCAATATGAAAGTATCGGGAGGAGGACACAAGGGTGTCCTCCTCGAAGATCATGTTGCCAAGATTTGAGGATTCGCGAGGACGTCGCAGGACGCGCAAGGATTTCGCAAACGCGGTGTCGCCGCTCATAGTGTCACCGTAACATAACATGTCACGTAACGATCGAAGCAGGAAAGAAGCAACGGTCTCGAACACGAAGATTTCACTAACAAGGACGCGAGTTGCGATATATTTGCACTACATTCGGCTTTGCTTATCGCGAGCGAACCAGGTATCCTGTAATCCGCAAAATCTCAGCGGGCTCTTCGTTAACTTGACTCGGTAAACAGACGGGATTATACTTGATTCGCTTTGGTCTGCGCCTTGGTTGCGTATAAATGGTCGGAAAAGAGAATTACATTGATACAATTGGCACCGCAACGATCAAGTGAAAGCGATAGGTTTTTATTAGAATTTCTCTAATCGGCAATCTTTTTGCATTTCCGCTGGTAAGAATACTAACGAAGAAAGTCATTTCCAACACACCATCAATGCACGAATCTCAAATTATGCGTCCCACCCGTAGGAACTATCCGATCCCTCGGCAAATCGGGCAAAACTAAACGCGTGCACTTACGTGATCGATAAGACACACACACCCATCGGACCGAACCATTAATACCGCATTAACAGCATCATATTTGTTATGCGATAAATTTGCTTGTTGCTACTCGAGTAAACGTGGAAAGAAAAAAGAAATCACAAGGCGTCACGAGGAAAAAATGTGACGCCTTGCTAATCAGCGTGTTAGGCATTAATTATTCCGGGTAATTAATTTCAAAAGTAAATTAACAGGCTATATTATAATTCTCGAGTCCTTCTTCACTCTCCTCTCATTGACTCGCGATATTCCACTACGTAGATCGTCCTAACACACACATCGCGGAGAGAAAGTGCTCAACGGCCTGCCGTTATACCAATCCCGAAAATAATTAGCGGAAAGCGCCTCGTGTGTGTGTGTGTGTGTGTGTGTTAGTTTTATCGCCTTGTATACCATCGGGAATTCGGACACAGTGACGTCTCGCCGATCGGTGGTGTGTGATAGAAGCCAATCTTTTTGTCGAGAACATAAGAAAAGGACAATAATTCGCCGGAGAAGGTCGAATGTGTGCCTCGGCACGTGATACACGTAAGATACAAACCGGTTGGTGGCCGGTTCGCACTTTCTTCGATACATCTCTACGCTGGCCATGATCACCTCACTTTCGAGGTCAATGTCTAGGCCTGGGGTGTACGCCCGAGATGTGCATCACGTTGTGGCTGGCTTCTTTTGCATCGGTGCAACTTTCCTTGATTCGCGAGTGCTAGTGAGACGGAGGCACGTGCGTGTGTGATTCTCTTATTTGCCAGGAGCGCATGTGTCGCGTCTGTAATCGATGAAACCGTGCCTTCCCGGAAAAATCTTCGATTTTCCCTCGCATTCACGTACGCATCTACAGCAATGATTCGCCGTATGGTGTCACGTGACACTGAAAATATCTCCGGGATTTCAAGCAAGAGCTCCATGAGAGAATTTACACTCGATGCGTAGCAGCGTTTGCGTACGGATCGTTCGTTCCGACAGATTTTTAACTGGCGCTTCGCCGCGGCCAGTTGCAATTGGAAAACCCGAGATAAAGTTCCGAGATGCGTTTTGAGAAAAGAGAAGATTATCAAGGAGATGGAGCTCTCGTAATTACACTCATCATACCATTTTTTCCTCCTGCCGCGGTGATTTCTCCGTATTCCGCGCGGCGAACTGGTATGTCCGGCGGATCTAGTAAATGAAGAAGCAGCGAAAGTAAAACCTCTCAGATACGACCGACATGGAGAGTGCATTCGTATACGCGCGTCGATTATTTTACAGTAGAGTTATAGCACTAAATTAGCACCAAGCGACTGCACATTTCAGAAATGTTTCGTAATGAGATTGTATGCAACGAAAACATGCATTTCCTTCAAATTAAACGGGTTTTTTTTTCTTAATTGCCGGCCATCGGAACTATTCCGCAATGGACAACGATAACGCGAACGACGGAATTGTCGCGATGACTCAACACTCGAGTAATCACTAAATTAAATAATAAATAAATCACGACTAAATTAAATCCGATATCAAAGAAAAGGCTGCAGGATCCCCGAGCTGATTCGCTGAAACAGCTGGAGATTCATTCGATCGAGATTAACGATCGTTCTCCCAGCTTATTAATTCGCGAATACGGTGGGTGGGATAAATTGTCCTAATGTAATCATCGACTGAACCAAATCGTCTGAATTGTCGTGATGCTTTCTACTGTCACATGTCACATGACTAAGTGCGCGATTGACCGCGTTTGAAGGTTTCGTCGCCTCATTAAATGTCGCGGAGTGACGGGCCAGTCGGACTTGCCGTGTTCGCGTTCGCACGCACTTCCACAGCTTCATCAAATAGCGTATTAAATATGAAAATTGTTTATGTAAATTACTGAATGCGGCCTTAATCGAGGGTCGTTCAATTCCTTTGTTCAAAATCGCCCATCATCGCGACACCGCGACAAATACGCGACTTTGTCGCGCCACCGACTCGCGGCCGGCGAATATAATAACGCGCGTCCCAAACTGCTTGTCAGTGTACTGCGTAACAGAAATGAGCGATTTGTTGACAATTTCTCATCGTTTCCTCATGCCTCCCGCCGGTGTAGAATTTTGCTGTATCGAATCGTAATGCCAAATGGAGCCGCGAAAAACGCATGCGCGTTTTAACCTCAAGATATCAGTCGCGTGTTTTCCCGCTTGACTTTACGTACGCCGTTTAGGCGAAGCGCGTGCGATTTTAACGCGGAGACACTACTAAATAATAATTTAGTTGGAAAATAATAATTTAGTTGTAAAGATGAATTTTCTTCTGATTCCTTTCTTGAAACCTCATTTTTAATCCTCATCAAGTATCGCCGAAGAAAATCACGTTAACGCTGTCATGGAAAGGAAATTTCATTCCGCTGCATGCTTTTTTATTTCAGAAATAAAAAATCAAACAAAGGCAATTAAATGTTTTATTGCGACTTTCGGCCCCAGTTGAATTCGTGCTTAAAAATATGCCATCAAACTCCATCGGAGGCGTCATATTGTCATTTTTGTGCGACGAAGATGCTGAATTAAAAAACTCACCGATAACAACGCGCGTTCCAAACCGTTCGTCATACCGTAACTGAAATGAGTGACAATTGTTGACAGCTTCTTATCTTTTCCTTATGCCTCCCGTCGCGGCACGGAATTTCGCAGTATCGAATCGAGCCATGTGAAAAACACACGCGCGTCGATCCTCAGATATCAATCGCGTAATTCTCCCGCTTGACTTAACGCGTTGTTTAGACGAAGCACGCGCGCGAAGTAGCAGCGACGCAGCAGCGACGAGAGAGATCAACGTGAACTCGCGGTTCGTATTTCAGCTCCTCCGGATCCTCGAATCTCGAGCAAGTCTGTAAGGGCAGACCTGCCGGAGTGAGTCGATGACCGAGATATTAAAAGTAAGACACATGAACAAATGATGGAAGAGGGTATAAGTCGGTCGATGGAGCGTAAACTATAGCTGACAAGTCATTCACTGCAAGTGACAGGTGTGTACATATAGTCTTTATCTCTTTATATGCAGCCAGACTTGAATAATCGTGAAAATATTGATGTCAAGTGAAAACTCGAATTCAATTAACATTCGAACGCGCGTATTCCCGTGATATAACGACGAAGCCACGTCGTTCCCGCAATTTCGCGAAAACGTTTCCATTAGAGGCCCAGTGGCGCTCATGAGTGTGACAATTAGACTTGTTAAGAGTCGTGACACTCGGGTCTTTTAACTGTTTCTTCTTTCCCGCGATTTCGCGGGGACTTTCGTTAAAATTCAAATGACCTTCGAATGAAATTAGTAGGAATCAATGAATCGAATGAATTTTCAAATCGTTTGTCTTTGTGCATATGTTAAACTGCCTTTTCTTCTATTCTTTTTTTTCAATTAACCTCATCGCTTATCAAGCGATCCGAGTCGAATCGAATATAATCCCGTTCGACTTCGCTCCCTGATTACAATCATTGGCATCAGCATTGCGTTGGAAAGCACGGATCGCGCATGAGCAGTTGCATATTCCGAACCAAAGTGTGAAACCAAAGTAGATTGCACAGAATTGAAAAGAGACAAAGGCATTACACACACCGCTTGAAATAAGAAGTAAGAAGTAGCAAATCGCTCGCGTTCATCTAACCCGAGTAATCCAACGAACATTCGCCGCTTTGATAATCCCTCTTGGTGCGGACTTCCTCGTCGAGGAACGCGCTTATCAGAAGGCAATGACAATATGCGTTGGCACATCAAAGACCCTCCGATCGTTCCATTTACGACGCCTTTTACGAACGTGTGAACGCTAACTGCTGTGCTGCAGCACAGCACACGTTACGCACGAGCTCGACGCCACAAGCGTCACAAGCTGCGTCGGCAGGCTCCTCCGACGAAGCTTCAGCTTCGACATTACACGCCGATGAGCTTATTTTTCCCCGTGGCGGCGATCCCTTACCCAAGGAGTAGCGCTCTTCCTCGCTGATTTCTCCGTCTCGCGACCCGTCGCGATCGCGGTCACGCGCGACTCTCCTCCACCTCGTCGGCCACCCTCAGGCAACAACCTCTCCGGTCGGTGTCGCCGTGCGTCGCGCGCCAGGGAGATCCGGTCGAATAAGACCCGCGGCTCTCATTCGACGAGGTGCGCGATGATACGTAGACCCGGGGCTCGGCGGCGACCTCTCAACCGAGCGAGCCCGACATTCGCGCCTTGTTCAACGATCGCCAGCCATGTCAACGATCCCGCGAAGCAACGGGCGCACACACGCACCACACACCGTCACCATCACCCACGAATGATCACGAGGGCTCGGTGTCGCGCGGCACAGCCTCCCGTCCCGTCAAAATCGCGAGGTGCGCGGAAACGAAAGTACCGGCTCACTTCGCGTCGCGTTTCCGTCGATTAGCGATCAGCTTTCACACGCTCGCGCACCGCACCTCCTATCAGTACCGCCGATGGAGAGTAAAAAAAGAGGGAAAACGCTAACGCACAGGAGCGACTCTCGTTCCTCTCTCGTTTCTCGCTCTCGCTCTCGCTCTCGCTCTTTCTCGCCGTCTCTTTCTCTGTGCCAGGCCTTTCCCGATCTCGCGGAGGGTGCAGGCGCCGGCCGGCCGCCATCATAGAAATCAATACAACCCTTAAGGGGAGCTTACACCGTGTGTATGGGATTTCGTCGAGCGAACGCTTTCGCTTCGCGGGTCGACAACCCCGGGTCGCGACCTCGACCACTACGATTTTCGAACGCTGCTTGGAAACGACAGGGTCTCGCCCTGGTCGCATCTCGACTCGTTTCCATCGTCGCGAACAGACGAGTCAAGGAGCCAACGAGCCTCATCGTACAAACAGCGTCGACAACCGAGCTCGCGGGTAGTTTCGGTTGTCAGCAATCGATGTCAATTTCGATTTGCCACTGGCCTTGTGTACATTTAGGCAGACAAGGTGTAACCTGTCGGTTATCTCAACCGTAGAAACGCACCGAACCTTCCGCTCGTTTTTTGACCTCCGCAACATTTTTATTACGTGTGACACCTTCCTGTCCAATTAGATCTCGACGTTTCCACCTTCCCAAGCAGCGCGATCGATATCTTCCTAGTCGGTGTGTCCGCAAACACCCGACTTCCTCGCCGTTGAAGAACTAGACGATGAAGGGTCTCGGGCGAAAAGTAAACGCTTCTATTTCCCTTCCTGGATCCGCTGACGCTAACTGCAACACAGGCGGGAAACTGCGGACAGTCGTCCGACAGTCGAGGATGGAATTATCGGGGCTCGGAAAAAGCGGCGATCAGCCGCTAATGATTCATCCGTCATTTGTCACCGCTTGACCAACGTGTATACATAGACTAAGCATTTGTATACTTTCACTACGGTTGAAGAAACGAGCTGAACCGGAAATTGGTAGTTGAGGATCGAGGGAGAGAGAGAGAGAGAGAGAGAGAGAGAGAGAGAGAGAGGGGGAGAGAGAGAGAAAGAAAGTATTAGCAAATAATCTTTTAGTCTTAAGTTACTATTTTCCGATCTGCGGCCAAGATTTTTGGTGTGGTGAAAACTTCATCCTGGTGATTCAGCACTATCTAACATTCGGACGTTACGGTTTCGAGCGGTAATGCGGAAGTAACAAATCGGAAACGCACGTACAGCCGGCTGATTCCAAATTGCAACACTTCCTTCCGATGAGTTTCGTAACGCTTCCCATATCCAATAGGGAAATTCGTTTTTCAATCATCCTCAGGAAATTTTTCATCTTCCTTGTTGGATACGGAAGACGTTGCAAGAGTCGTCGGAGAAGAAGCTTGCGACCTTTGATCAGCTGGCCGCACAAGACATGATTCTCTAGAAACGTCGAACTGCGAAATGTAGATGCAGAGTACGGCTTAGACGTTGAGTTGTATTTATTAGAAGAGAGTAACGAGGACGAGAGACGGTAGAAAATGGATACGCAAGAGGACTTTCTATGTGCAGTCTTGTGCCCCTCTCTCTCTCTCTCTCTCTCTCTCTCTCTCTCTCTCTCTCTCTCTCTCTCTCTCTCTCTCTCCCTCCCTCTCATTTTGACCGCCTCACCTAGTATTCATATACCATGTACATATATGTCAGTTCTCCCACGCGATATAAAAGTTTTTCCTAGCAATACCAATAGTTACATGAACGATGTCCAAATGCAACTCAAAATCGAATATGACTGCTTTGAGATCAGCGACGGAGAAAAAAGGATGAAGAAGAGAAAGAGGGAGAAGAAGCAATCAGAATCGCCGATTGATAAAGATAAAAATTTCATGTTCAATTCCGACACGGGTCGGCGAGCAAGAAGTTACGAAAATCTTCCACATTAAAATATATTTCTAAAGACACAACTTTGAAAAGCAGAAAAGAAGGAAAACCAAGTCTAGACGATGCGCTCGGGTCGCGATGCAACAATTGCTGCAAAACACAGCGATTTCCGAAGCAGAACCGATTGCTTCTTCGCGCGTCTTCCGGCTGCTCCGAAGCTCGATGCAACTCGCGCTAGACAAATACGGCGAAGCGGCCGGCCGGATCATTCTTCCTCGATGATCAATGACAATCAATCTTTCATAACGGGAAAGTCAGGATTGTCCGTGCCTGTTTATCCGTAGCATCCGTAGGAAGCGGCTAGAAACTGACGGCTCCCTTGCCATTTTACTGTACTATGTCCTTGAAGAGGAGAGACTTACGAGAGAACGAAGCGAACAGGCACGAAAGATCTCATCGAGGCCGTCGATCGAGGTCAGGTTTTAGACGCGCATGACGTCAAGGTCTAAATAGACGGTACCGTTGTGCCGTTCAGGACGCGATCGAGAGGAAAGGGAAGGACGCGTCAGCGTGTGCTGTAGCGGGTTGCGATCTCTTCACGCGCGCGCGCGCGCATTTCTTTCTCATTTGCGAAGCCTGCCGGGCTGCCTGCATCGGGACGAGCTATCCGTAGCCATACCAGACGCCTCTGTACTGACCCACTCTCACTCTCACCTTTCTCTTTCCCTCCGTATCTCTTCGTATTTTCTCCTCTCAAGAGCGTATCCGCGTAATATAAAGATGATAGGAACGACTCTCGAAAGAATTTCGTTATCGTCTACGCGCCGTTTTCATCTTAACACTTTCGATACATTTTTGCACGATCTTGCGTATTCTCTCTCTGTTGCCAGCCTCCGTTGCTTCGTTTTTCTTTGATCGAACATATAAATTACTGCACGATATCTCTTTCTCCATTATGGTAGTCTCTCATCGTCCAAGGTCAAAGGTCAAAATTGAAACGTGTAAAGTTCTCGTACGAGTTTACGCTTTGAACTACGCGAGTTAGCTCTTATTGGTTCATAAAATTTCACTTTGGCTATGCTATCTGAGAGTCTTGTAATATATATTTATTTGCGTTTCTCTTTTTTTTTATTTCTCCAACCGGATGCAGATTGAAATTGACTAAAATAATTGGCAAATCGATAATCAAAAGTAATCAATCGTCATAAAATGTAATTCCGAATAATTCGATCGATTAATAAATTGATTATTAATAATACAATCTATTAAATTAAAATGATGAATTGAAACAGTTGTTATCTGTGCAATTACGATTTACTCAATGTTAATTTGGATTATTTCAAAGTTTCAGTCGATTAATGCCCGACACTGGTTGAAACGTATCTGCGTCAAATAGGAAGACACTGGGCAATTCGCGGCAAGTAATTTGCATACACGCGTAAGCGGATGATAGCACTTGCAATTGGGCTAAATCGATAGCTAATTGATAGCAAATTGATTAATTGCCGTGCCTCGTGCACGTCGCGAAGGACGCCGAAAGCGCGTCGTCAGTCGACCACGGCCTAAGATGAAGAGCGCACTACCTCTGGTAGTTTTGCTTCACCTGTGTTGGAATTCTCTCCCGGAAGTATGCTCCGGTACAAGGTAAATGACATCGTCGTACTCGTTTAAAAGTCATTTTCGCGCCATTACGCACTGCGACGAGTCGACGGCGCGTTTCGTCGCGGCGCCTTTTATCGCTTTCGACGATTTTCGAGGAAAAACGTCTGTGAATAATTTCGCACCAAGGAGCGCGGAGTAAGTTCGAAATTACTTTTTTTGCGATTTTGACATATTTTTCACCTTTGGCGTCACAAACGAGCTGCTGTGTAATTTACAGGGTAAAGAAAATCCGCGAGTATGATCGTTCGAAAATGATAAGACAACGGTCGTTGATTTCCACGTCGCGATGAAGCGAATCGCTACATAATTTTGTTTGAATAATTTGCAGTTTTTCTCAGAGAAGAGATTGTTTCTCTTCCTGCGTTTAACGCGTCGAGAAAATTTGCAATGAGTCATTAGTTACGCGTTATGACATTAATCGTATGTAAAGAGCTATTAGAAAAAATTCTTCTACACATTTCGTGTAAACATGCACCGTGAATATTTAAAGAAAAATGAATGCGTTGACAAGAACGATTAGATATATTTAATCAACGCTAATGCATAAGACAACTTAAACAATAAGAGAATATAGAATATTTCTCGCAGTTTGTTCAACGAGAATGTCAACAATTGTACTGTGACGCCGAGACTCATTCTACCCGATCATTATGTTAAAGGTAATACGCATATTACTGTAAGGAAACATCCTTACAGATATAACGAACAATAATAAATAATAACGAAACAAAACAATCCACAGAGATAAGACCACCATCGGCAAAGGACGCGCCTGTAGTAGTGAACTTTAACATTTTAGTGGTTGACATTAATTCGATCAATGTTGAAGATATGGACTTCCGGTAAGCCGAAATATTTTCAGAAGGTGTCCAGAGACGTAAAATTCAATTAAAAGATCAAAATACGCTAATTTTCATTAGAGATTTAAAATTTAATCAAATATAATATATAGTAAAAAAATATATTTAAAAAGTCCTCCAAAAGTCATAATCAAGTATTACAAATATAAATAAATTATCCGTCACAACAGAAAAGAGTCAGATATGATAAAATATTTAATAATTATAAAAGACACAAGTTTCAGTCCGATTTTGGATTTTTTTCAATGTTACATTACGCTCTTACAGTCCTTCAACTAATTATACAATAATTGTATATTTGATTGTATATCATAAAGCCTTTATTCTTAATTTTCTGACAGAAATTTATGCGCACGTAAAAAAGTCACAAACGTGTGCGATCTATTGATATACATTGACACATTTATTAGTGTAGAGATTTATTCGAAAACATATACATTAATTAGTGTAGACATGTTCGTCAGTCAAAGTTGGATGGAATCTCGACTTAACATGCCTCAGGACATATTCGAAGAGGACGACGACTACGTTATACTTCCGCCAGAATTCTTCGACAATCTTTGGCAGCCGGATCCGTACTTCTTGAATTCAAAAGTGTCCGGTAAGCACGTACAATTGAGCAAGTTATAACGCAACAAGTTGTCTTCCCAGCGGAAACCGCAAAATTAAATGTTCTTTTTTCAGAGATCGCGACCTTGAACCACAAGTTTTCCCTGGTCACGTTATACCGGAATAAAACTGTTAAGTATTCCGCGCGAATTAATGCCATTGTCGCGTGTCAGATGGAATTTCAATTGTATCCGATGGACATCCAGATCTGCCCGATTTATATAGAAAGCTGTAAGTGAGCGCGCGAAAGTGAAAAATGTAATTATACAACGGCCAAATAACGGCGCAAAAAAACTCGACTTCATATATTCGATGAAATATTATTTTACATATTCGATTATATTTCCTTTATTTCTCAAATAGATAAAAATGTTTCTAACACGAAAATGTTTCGAGATCTTTGCGAGATTCAAACAGTGTGACAAGTGTCAACAAATGTTTGGACAAACCGTCATTTGCCGTTTAAAGATTTTTTACGACAGAATTTATCACTGCATTTACATAGAAATGAACAACAAACTCGCTTTGCGATTCATCGTCTTCGTATAATCGGAATATTTAATGCTATCTAGAATTATGTATTCCGTGGTTCATGTTTTCAAGTTTACATGACTTGTTTCGTCCGCAAGAGCTAGAAAAAAGTGGGCAGTGTTCCAAAGTACAATTTTGTATGAGACAATGCAAGCGCTCAAACTCGGTAAATTGTTCGTTTATCTGTTGCAACAAGCCGATTTACTTATTGCAGTTTCCTACAATAGAAAGAAGCTACACTTAAAATGGGGCGCAGGCGGTGTCACGGTAAATCCCGAGCTAAAGTTGTTGCAATACGACTTCGGGAAGCCTGCGGTATTCGAGGAGATCATAGATTACATGTTGGAGAAAAACGGTACGACGTATCTGCGGAATTGAGAAATAATTTTCATGTATCACTTAGCTGACACTTGAGAAATTCAGTCGTTAACTGCATTCGCTCTTCTGCCCGACGTCATTATTTGCTCAACAACTATACATTGAAAGAAAGGATACTAAAAAAATAGAAGATACTTATACGGTGGATGTGAATAATATGTTCATTTGTATTCATATCTATATTTTCACACTGAAAAAAAATATTGTTAGAAAATGAAAAAATATACATTTCCTTAAAACTGTTTCATGTCATGAGACTCCAATTGTATATTCTGTTTAAATAAAAGCATTTAAATCTAAGCGTGTATATTATTAGCAGCCACCGAATATCTTTTTATTTTTAGATATTTTTCTTGCAAAGTAACATATACATATCCATATTGAACTCAAAGAATTTAAGAAACAGTACGACGATTCGTCTGAAAAACATCCGAAAGGTAAATTTTACAGGAAATTTTTCAAGATTGGTCGTCTTCTTCCGCTTCGAGAGACAAATCGGTCACCACTTGATACAAACGTTCGCACCGTCGATGTTGGTAGTAATGCTCTCTTGGTTCAGCTTCTGGCTGGGTCTGGATGCGATTCCTGGTCGAGTGGCTCTTCTGGTCACGAGCATGCTTACCCTGGTAACGATGTTCACGGGTCTTAAGAGCGACATCCCGCCGGTAGCGTACATCAAGGTGAGTTTGCGCACGTACTCCAACATTTTGTAATGGTCTTACGCGCGCCGAACATCTTTATCTTTGTGTGTACATAAGTACCTACTTTTTCCTTTGATACAAAGCTTCACACACTACTCGCGTAGGCGTTGGACGTGTGGATGGCTGGCTGCATGATGTTCGTATTCGCGGCTCTGGGCGAATTCGTCGTGGTCAAAGTGCTTGACTTGCGACATGTCGAAAACGATTCGCAGAGTTTCATAGGATCTCGCTTCTTTTCGGTTCGTATCTAATTTAATTATAAAAATAGAATTTGTGCGCCAATTTCGAAGACGCGTGCAATAATGATATCAATCGATGTGCGGAAATTAATCGAATTAAAAAAAAATGCGTTGTAAAAACTTTCTCCTTCAATTTTATTTTCTTTTTTTTTTCAGCGATTTACAGCGATAGAAAAGAGGCAAAGCATTTGGGATAATGAATTTGTTTATGTAAATAAACCGAGAAACAAGCAAATTAGCAATCGATACCTACTGCCAACGGTATGGCTAGATGCTGAATGTCAGATGATGCAGTCGCGTAAGACACGCTCTCAGAAGATCGATTGTTACAGCAGAATTGTTTTTCCGATACTCTTTCTGCTTTTCGTCGTTACATATTGGCCGATAGTGTTGCTGAAGAAGGCGCCATAATGAACGAGACAAGTCCTATTTAGAAACCGTTGCAACATTAGCACATTCCGTACGTGTTATTCTGTAATCGGTATACCCTCCAAATTTTGCTGAAATGCGTAAACCCCTGCTGCCATTATAACTCGAAAACAAAAGTCGAAATGTACTACGAATTTATATGTGTAGAAAAATGAAATATACAATCTTTCTCTCTCTCTCTCTCTCTCTCTCTCTCTCTCTCTCGACGTTCGTTTATATTTTATAAATATAGCTTGTTGTATATGTACATTACAATGTACATACAAAGTATAAAAATAAGAATTTTTCTATAAAATTTAGATAGAAAGCCTAACCGGTCACTTCCTTTTCTTCTTCTTCTTCGCTCGAATTTTCTACATCTGTAGAAGAATCTTGCCACGGTTCAGTTACATGATTAACCGAATCGTCATCATCATTCAACTCATTTTTATCTGATGCATGTTTGGATAACTTGTCCGTCAATTTCAGTTCTCCCACGTTCAGTATGTAATTTAACGTATATTGGTTAAAATCGCATCTGCAAAAATATCCCAAATTAACTTGCGATGTTTAATATTAACGTGCTGTGTACATTAATTAAAAACATTTAGTAAAACCAACATTTTACTCAAGTCGTCGTATTTCTTCTGCATATTTTTCTGCAACATCAACAACACTGGCATTTGAAGTGCAGCATTAATCTGCGACCCACGTTTCGTCAGGATTGTTTCTATCCAGAGCAGATAAAAATGTATATGTCTGGTGGGTTCCAATTCGGACGCTATAAATTTCAATAGCTTCTCTATGTAAATATCTGGCATACTCGTCGTCGTCAATCCAACTATAATAGCAGAAAGGTGAAACAAATATGCATCATGTATGAGATTATTGATAAAGTCTATAAAAATTTTCTCAAAGATACTCATACGTGGACTTACTATCTTTGTATGGAATAGTCTCCAAAATTTGTTGCGTCAGTAACTTCTCGTTTAATTTCAACGCCATCATCAGTGCTAGAACAAGTATTATTGATTAGGTTTATCGTTCAGTCGTGTGTATTATTGTTGCTACTTATGTTATTAATTTTAACTTCATCTACTATAAAATTGTGCACAGGAAAATATTCCACTGTTAAGAAAATTATGATCACTCGGTTTATTCTCCTTCTTTTAAGTATTATATTTATACTTCAATGCAGTATGCATTTTTCTGAGTTTACCTTTCGCATACTCTTGCTTCTCAAGCATTTCTCTTGCTGTGTCTGGTGTAATTCCAAGTTCCAACTGAAAAGGATCGAACATCAATCCGACATCCAACGAATATATCAATAAACCTTCTGTTGTCGCTGCAGCCCACGCTTGTCCTATTTCACAAAATTAATATTAGTTAAACTAATATGTTTATACAATGTATCAAGATAATAACAACTATAATGCAAGATAACATATATTTAATAAATAACAAAATTAATAACCATTATATTATTATTCATTCTTACCTGTAGGAGAAAATTGTAAACTGAGTACTCTCACTTCTGGTTTAACCCTTCTGCTTGCCATATCACCAGTTTTGACACCTGGCAAACGTAATGATATATTCCCACCCTCGCGATATTCAATTAAAGCCTTGTTTCCAAATTCAGACATGTATCTTCTGTTTATAACTTCCTACATTGAAAAAGAAACAGTACAATGAAACAGTTGAAAAGAAGAATAGACTTGTGCTTTTGTGCGACACTAATTACTTACATCCACCCCATCCAGCGATCTGTTCTGAGTGATCTCAAATTTCTTCAACAACGTACATACTTCAGTATTATAAATGCATACATTTTTCGAACGGCCACCGGCTAATATGCATATACCATCAGCTGAGTAACATAAGCTAGTGAAAGCTCTGAAAAAATAGAAATAGGAAGAAAATAAATTATAAAGTTAATACCTGATAATACATTCGTTAAAGAGCAATATACATTCGATGTACAATATTCCCGGTGATCTGATACATTTTGATTACTTACTTTCCCTGTAAATTCTTTTTTGCCGTGATGAGATCAGTTTTGGTTCTACCAGCGCCTAAATCATTCCTGCCCTCGATATAAGCTCTTTGTGTCGCAGTTTTACAATTGAAAAACGAAATTTGTCCGTCCAACGTGGCAACCGCAACTTCTTCCCCGTTCGGTTTGTAAGTTACGTACAATGCATCAGCAGTTAACTGTATCGTTTCATGTGCGGAGCCATTCTCAATAGCATTCCATATTTTCAGTGTTTTATCCCAGGATACAGATGCCAATTCTGTGCTAGTGACATTGGGATTGAAGGCCAGACTCGCTACGGGTCCTTCATGACCGCCTAATACCTGAAAATGGATTTTATCGAAAAACCGTTTAGTACTTTAAATCCTAGTTTTACATATATCTACGATATTAATATTATACGCACCTCTAAGAGAGTCCCAAGTTTCATGCTCCACAAGAATATTTCGAAGAAATCTTGACCGCCTGCCGCGAGAAACTCGTCGCTCGCATCGATCGCCATGCAGGAAAATTGCACCGGCCGTGGCGAGGTGAGAGTACGAAAATTTCTGTACCTCACTAGATCGTATGCGCGAACGGTTCCATCCAGCGAAGCAGATGCGATGAATTTACGATTATGGCTGAAGAGAACGCTTGATACTGACGAGGTGTGTTCGTGAAACGTGAGCGTGCAAAATCCAGTCATTGTATTCCACAATTTCATCTTCCCATCGTCGCCACCGGTGACGATGTATTGGCCATCCGGACTGTATGCTAGACAATTTATGTCAGTTCGATGTCCTTGCTGCTTCATAGCATACGTCTCGCTTTGCCATTCCCAAACTAATAACTGACCAGCGTGAGAGCATCCTACAGCTATCCAGTCACCGGTAGAATTTAAAGCGACTGATGAAATACGCTGTCGAGAAATACTGTGAAACCGAACCAGTGATTACGTATGTAATCGATAAATTAAGTATCAGCAATATAAGTATATAAAAAAAAATTAAATATACATGTATAGTTACAACAGTAAAAATAATTATGTAAAAATTATAATATATCTTCAATTATTTTCTTTGATAATTAAATATTAGATCATACCTTAATGAATGAATCATGTTGACATCGGGCATTTCATATAAATAAAACGAGCCATTATTGAATCCAACAACCAACATATGAGTGTCACAATGATAAGTTGCTGCAGTAAGCTTTGCATCCTTATAATGCTTTCGAGGTTCATCTGCTAAGTAATGGCGTGCTAATTTCTTGTAACCTAATCTTTTAATTTCAATATTATTTTCTTCTACAATATCTTCTTCTATAGCATTTACCTCTTCTACAGCGTTATCTTGTGGCAGATTCTCTAATAAAATATGCTCTTATAAATAAAACACATTACTCATATTCTAGTTATTTTTATATAATTATTTAAGAACGTGTTAAATTGAAAAAAACTTATAAAAAATTTATAGAAGAAACTTTTATAAGAAATTTATAAAATAATTGTGATAAATAAGATAGAAAAATAACCTGATTCTGTAAAATTATTTTTTAAAATATGGGCCTTTGGCTTTTCTATAGCTTTTCTTGTATCAATATCATCTTCACTGTCACTATCGATAGGCTTTCTTTTTTTCACAGGTGGTTTCCACTCAACTAAATCATCTGGATCAATTGTGCATTGCCAGATACAAATCCGGCCATTTCTGTCAAACAAATCCACACACATTTATAAAATCTGTAGCATATATATTTAAAATAAACATCAGCTTATTGACTTAGCTTATATCACTTTTAAATTTTATGTCGATATTTTTAAACATTTTACTTACTTGCTGATAGTATAGATGTCATAATTTTTACTCTCAAAGAAGCACCCTACAATTACATCTGAATGACAACCCAATGTAGTTACTCTAAAATTTGCCCATTTTTGTAAACTATAGATTTTTACAGTAGTATCTTTGGAACCAACTGCTAATAGTTTTGAGTCAAAAGACCAATTGAGGCATGTTGTTTCTGCAGTAGACTCATGGAACGCACGTGTCATAACAAATGGATTATAGTCTCCACATTGTAAGCGAGGTGCATTAAAGACAAAAACTATAACATGAAAATATAAATTATTTTAAATAATAACTAGGAATATTATAATTTCATGCTTAACTTCATTATACAATTAACTTAATACATAATAAATCACAATATTATTAACAAAGTTGTAATGATAAATACCTACCACCACCTCCTTTGCAAACTGCAAAATGTTTCCCATCTCGAGAAAATTTTACACGTTTCGGATGTCCTTTGAGCCTGTATTTATGTAAAATAACCTTGCTTATCATGCTTATTACATGAATTTCACCATCTGTACAGATGATATAAAATTATGCATTTTTCTATGATATCATTTCTTTGTAAATATATTTGCATAATTGCTTTTAGAAATATGTATCTGAAAAAAGAAATCTTACCCGCATTAACTGCAACCAACATGCCACCATTTGGTGATATATCAATGGTAACATAATTAAATCTACTTTCCACAGGAAGTGTTGTGGATTTATTACTGAAAGAAAAATTATTTAAAATATAAGATATTTTAAATGCTATATGGAACGTTATCGAATTTGTAGAAATTGTCTTAAGATTGAATATCAACCTTAAACATATAACATACAATGAAGCTTAAGAAAATTATTATACAAATTATTATATAAAAGAAGCATGATTTATTTAAATTTAAAAGTGATATATTTCGTTGTACTCACTTCTTCAAGTCATAAATTGTGATTCTATTGCCCACAGGGCTAATGACTGATGAACCATCTGGAGAAAAGAGTAAATCCCCTTTTCGATAAACTGTGCCAAGTAAATTACTAAACTGTAATAAATATAAAAAAATTAATAGTATGATATATTTATGTACATATTTCTTACAATTTAAATTTCCACTACAATTTCTACTAAATTTTAGAAATCCTTTTCCAAGCTTTGCTTCTATGCATGCTATAAATAAAAATAAATAAATGGTAACAAGAGAGTATAATTACATTCGTTATGTTAAAAAATTTTAATACATATAAAAATTAAGTTAACATTATTAATGAAAAGATCACGATACAAAGTTATAAGTTATATTCAAATTTTAACATTCACTAAGTGTATAATGTTTATATAATATAACCTAGTACACATGCTCAATAGTAACGTACAGAAAATATAAATTCACAGGTAGGTTATGGTCAAATGTAGGTTAAAAATAATAAATGTAAGAAATATATCTTTTAAAATTTAGTAGAAATGAAAGAAACATATAATTTTACAATAAACGATTACCTTATAGGAGAATTTCATCTTTTTTCTAAGAAGGTGTAACTTTTTTTTTGTAATATCACTTTATACAAAACACGTTTTCATCTCAACTCTCGAAGGTAGTTTATTGATTGAATGGCGCTCAGGGTCGCCCGACTTCCGTTATGGCCGAAACCAGAGAAAAACCTAAGAGCGGCCATCAGCGAAGATTCAGAAATTTTTATGAATTCGACACGTCCCCTGAGGAAATAAACGTCAACTACGACGATGTCGCTCAGTAACGAAGTGTGTTTGTGATAGTTTGGTTCATATCTGAGCTATTACACAGAATATAGTGAAAATTATATATGTATCATCAAGAGAAATCATCCCAGTAAACACAATATTGTGTTATTTTTAGAAATTTCAAATTCAAATTTTTTTTTAAAGGTATATATATGTACATAACAAGTTTTTACATTTCTTTTTTAATATTGGGCACTATTAACAAACGTGTTAAATTTTTATAACACGATATAATTTTTACTTTTAAAAGTTTATGTACAAATATTATAAAAACTTATGTTATGTACATAATATATATCTTAAAAAAGAAAATAATTTGAATTTGAGATTTCTAAAAATATTAAGTTAAGTATACAATAATCATATATATATGTTAGGTTTCTCAGTTGGCGCTACTGTTCTAATATATCACTTCTTTTGTACAGTAGAAAAGTGTTGCAGAGTTTTGTTATAGTTATAAGTTTTACTTGTAAAAACTTATATACACATATATACAATAAAAAAAATAATTTCAGTTTGATACTTCTAAAAATAACACAATACGTGTTGCGCTTGTACTTAGCGCCTTCTTTTTACCTTTTTGTTTAAAAAGGTAAGTTTTATATAATATTGAATATACGTACGTTTCACGTATAACGTGATTGACTTGGAGTACTCCGTGCCCACGCGTATTATTCATAGCGACGCATTCATACTTTTCCTGATCTGTTACATCGGATTCGATAATCTGCAAGACACCTGAAACATAAAATGTGATATTCTCGAATAGCGTTCCTCTCAGGATTTTCTTGTCCAAAGAAAGATGCGATGATGCGATCGCAGATCCCGTGTATATCATATCAATAGAGACAGTTTGAATTCGGCGTAATATGATTCTTGGAACAGATATAAATAAATATTGTGAAGTTTGAAGCGAATCTCTCACAGGCATGCTTTGAAAACACGAGTTGTTTTCATTTTCAGCTAACGGACGACGCAGGCATCAACACTGATCGGCAAGGTCAGCGACTGGTGGGGGGTAACCGTGCCTTCCCGATTGTTTGGATTCGTAGGCTTATATATGACTCCGTGATTGCGGAAAGGACATTGCGCCTCGGGCCGACGAACGACGCGCATACCGCGACGCAGAGTACGAGTGTCGGTAGTCGTATCGGTTAATACGCGTTTCTTTGTCCGAATCTTACTTGCGCGAGTGTTAGAGCTAGAGTCAGTGTCGTCGCCAGTGCTACGATGGAATATCCGGGGGTGCTGCGACGGAGTAACCAGAAGGAGGACGTCGGATCGAGAAGTCAGGATGGAGAGAGGACTTGGAGCGCGCCGAGAGACGTGGACAGCGATACATCATGTATGGTATTCGAGGTACCTCGAGTAATTATTATTACGCAGGATTTTTCTGATTTTAACGGACCTTACTCGAAGTAAGGACATACCCGAGTCGAAATTAAATCAGCATTCATAGTTTATCATGTGAAAAATGATAAAATAGCTTGAGATTTGATTATTCGTTAACCTAATTTCACGTAACATGAGTTCTATTTTTCTTTTCTCATAAAATATAAATGTCTATTCAAGCAAGGTTGCTGAGGCAAACTAAGGTTTATGAATACAAATTTTTAATTATGTTCTCAATAAAAAGTTGCACATAATTTAGAAAACTATGAGTAATGATCTTAGAATCTGATATAAATTTTACAAGTGTTGATTTTTATTCGTCTAATAATGCTCAGATTGTTGTTTTCGTTTAGAATCTACTAGAATGTCCGTTTCTCATTCTTGTTTATCTTTCTTATTGTACCGAATCTGAATTAAAATCTCTATTAGTGAAACAGCATTATTAGACATAACCGTTGTCTTTGCCTTTGCAGCTTTAGCTCTTTTGAGAGCTACAATTCTCATCATTCTCATTAGAAAAAAGAAAAGAAAAAAAGAGAAGAAAAAAGGAAAAAAGAACTTTAAGAATGATGAGAATAAAAAGTGTTTTTCATCTCCCATTTCCTCTAATTCTTATATGATTATTTAATCCTTATATATTTATCTCGCGCACAGTTCTAACAAAGGCAGTTCTATTTACGTTTTTATCTTTGTTCTCTTTCTTGCGCTATTAAGCGAATATATAATCAACATCAACAAAAATTACTCATTTAAATTAAGAATATAAGGATTAAGTACATATACATTGTCGAGATAAACAAGTATTAAATAACTGCGGAACACGTCGCTGTTGAAGACTCATCATGGGCGAGACTGCGAGAGTAGCCAGATGTAACATTCAGGTAGGACAAAGCTTGTTCACTATTGCGCATCTAGATATTCTGCATTGATTTTTCAAATTGGATGCAACTTGCAGGATCAATGTAGAATTAATATTTCGACTCGGGAAAGACTTTTTTTTTATCAAATCCTAACTTGTAGAAAACTATCGATTTGAATGTCGGCAAGAAAAAAACGGAGATACTTTTGATAGATATTTGACAAAACACCGGATCGGTATTTATCCAACGCTTAAAAAGTAACACGGAGAATGTTTTAGTTGGATGAATAAATTTTCGTTACTTTCCGCTTGCGGTTCTCGATCATTAGCGGCGATTCAGAAACGAAGAGAGAGGAGAGCGAGAAAGAGAGAGAAACATCTTGCCAGGAATTCTGCAGATCGGTCCATTTCGACAGATTCGGTATTAAAATATTAGACGTAGAAAAAATAAGAACGAGAAAAAATTTTTTATATTACAGTTAGTACAGAAAATCCGACGTACTTTTGTCAAAAAGAGATGAGTACCAAATTTTCTACAAGTTAGGACTAGGATAGAGAAAACGTCAAATCTTTTGCGACGATGGAATTAAACAGCAATATAGATTTTGATTTACGATATTAATCGATATTCGATTTCCGGTACTGATTTACTTTCTCATTTCTCTATAAGAGAAGAAAAAATTAATACGAATCGTTCGTTTATATATCTGAGTTAATTTGTTGAATAAATTAGAGGGGTAAGTACCTGAGAAATGAGAACGAATTGTCATTGCACTTGGACAATCTTCTGACATTGATTTCTGGTATTGATCGATATTCGATTTTCGGTACTGATTTACTCTTTCATTTTTCTACAAGAAAAAAGAATTGATACGACTCGTTCATTTATCCGTGTTAATTTGATGAATAAATTAAATATTGATCGGTCTTCAATTTTCGGTACTGATTTATTCTCTCATTTCTTTATAAGACAAGAAAAATTGATACGAATCATTCGTTTAGTCGAGTTAATTTGTTGAGTAAATTAGAGGGATAAATACCTGAAAAATGAGAACAAATTGTCATTGCAATTGGACAATTTTTTGACACTGATTTACAGTATTAATCGATATTCGATTTTCGGTACTGATTTACTCTTTCATTTCTCTATAAGAAAAAAAAAATTCATACGAATCGTTCATTTATCCGCGTTAATTTGATGAATAAATTAAATATTGATCGGTCTTCAATCTTGGGTACTGACTGATTCTCTAATTTCTTTATAACAGAATAAAAATTGATACGAATCGTTCTTTATCCGACTTAATTTGTTGAGTAAATTAGTGGGGTAAGTACCCGCAAGACGAAAACAACTTGTCATTGCACTTGGACAATTTTCTTGACATTGATTTATGGTATTGATCAGTCTTCGATTTTCGGTACTGATTTATTTTCTCATTTTTTTGTAAGACAAAAAAAATTGATACGAATCGTTCGTTTATCCTGGTTAATTTGTTGAATAAGATTAGGGGGGTAGGTACCTGAAAAGTGAGAACAAATTGTCATTGCACTTGGACAATTTTTTGACACTGATTTATAGTATTAATCGATATTCGATTTTCGGTACTGATTTACTCTTTCATTTCTCTATAAGAAAAAAAAATTCATACGAATCGTTCATTTATCCGCGTTAATTTGATGAATAAATTAAATATTGATCGGTCTTCAATCTTGGGTACTGACTGATTCTCTAATTTCTTTATAACAGAATAAAAATTGATACGAATCGTTCTTTATCCGACTTAATTTGTTGAGTAAATTAGTGGGGTAAGTACCCGCAAGACGAAAACAACTTGTCATTGCACTGTCATTGCACTTGGACAATTTTCTTGACATTGATTTATGGTATTGATCAGTCTTCGGTTTTCGATATTGATTTATTTTCTCATTTTTTATAAGACAAAAAAATGGATACGAATCGTTCGTTTATCCGGGTTAATTTGTTGAATAAGATTAGAGGGGTATGTACCTGAAAAATAAGGACAAATTGTCATTGCACGTGTGCAATTTTTTGACATTGATTTATGGTATTAATCGATATTCGATTTTCGGTACTGATTTATTCTTCCATTTCACTGTAAGAAAACAGAAAATTAACACGAATCGTTCATTTATCCGCGTTAATTCGATGAAAAAATTAGGTATTGATCGGTCTTCGGTTTTCGATACTGATTTATTCTGTCATTTCTTTATAAGAAAAGAAAAATTAATACGGATCGTTCGTTTAACCGAGTTAATTTGTTGAGTAAATTAGAGTGGTAAGTACCTGAAAAATGAGAACAAATTGTCATTGCACTTGGACAATTTTCTGACATTGATTTATGGTATTAATCGATATTTGGTTTTCGGTACTGATTTATTTTCCCATTTTTAAAAGGCAAAAAAAATTTATACGAATCGTTCATTTATCCAAGTTAATTTGTTGAATAAGATTAGTGGGGTAAGTACTTGGCAAATGAGAACAAATTGTCATTGCACTTAGACAATTTTCTAACGCTGATTTATAGTATTGATCAATATCCGGTTTTTGATACTGATTTACTCTTCCATTTCCCTATAAGAAAAAAAAATTCATACGAATCGTTCATTTATCCGCGTTAATTTGATGAATAAATTAAATATTGATCGGTCTTCAATTTTCGGTACTGATTGATTCTCTAATTTCTTTATAAGAGAATAAAAATTGATACGAATCGTTCTTTTATCCGACTTAATTTGTTGAGTAAATTAGTAGGGTAAGTACCTGCAAGATGAAAACAACTTGTCATTGCACTTAGACAATTTTCTTGACATTAATTTATGGTATTGATCAGTCTTCAGTTTTCGGCACTAATTTATTTTTTTCATTCTTTTATAAGACAAAAAAAATTCATACGAATCGTTCGTTTACCCGAGTTAATTTGTTGAATAAGATTAGAGGGGTAAGTACCTGAAAAATGAGTACAAATTGTCATTGCACTTGGACAATTTTCTGACACTGATTTACGGTATTGATCGATATTCAATTTTCGGTACTGATTTACTCTTTCATTTCTCTATAAGAAAAAAAAATTCATACGAATCATTCATTTATCCGCGTTATTTTGATGAATAAATTAAATATTGATCGGTCTTCAATTTTCGGTACTGACTGATTTTCTAATTTCTTTATAAGAAAATAAAAATTGATACGAATCTTTCTTTTATCCGACTTAATTTGTTGAGTAAATTAGTGGGGCAAGTACCTGCAAGATGAAAACAACTTGTCATTGCACTTAGATAATTTTCTAACGCTGATTTATAGTGTTGATCAATATCCCGTTTTCGGTACTGATTTAGTCTTTGATTTCTCTATAAAAGAAAAAAAAATTGATACAAATCGTTTGTTTATCCACGTTAATTAGATGAATAAATTCGATATTGATCGTTATTCGATTTTCGGTACTGGTTTCTCCTTTCATTTTTCTATAAGAAAAGAAAAAATTCAGACGAATTGTTCAGTTATCCACGTTAATTTGATGAAAAAATTAGGTATTGATCGGTCTTCGGTTTTCGGTACTGATTTATTCTCTCATTTCTTTATAAAAAAAGAAAAATTGATACGGATCGTTCGTTTAACAGAGTTAATTTGTTGAATAAATTAGAGGGGTAAGTACCTGAAAAATAAGAACAAATTGTCATTGCACTTGGACAATTTTCTGACACTGATTTATGGTATTAATCAATATTCAATTTTCAGTACTGATTTACTCTTTCATTGTGCTATAAGAAAAGAAAAAATTGATACGAATCGTTCATTTATCCGCGTTAATTTGATAAATAAATTAAATATTGATCGTGCACAATGGGGGGGAGAGGGAGAGGGATGGGAATAGGTGGTAGAAAGACTGCTAGGAGAGGGGGGAGGGAGAGGGGGGATGAGAGAGGCGGAGGAGTGGAGGGGGCGAAAGGGAGGAAGAGGAGGAATAAAAGGATAAGAGAGAGAACGAGGGAGAGAGTGTGAAGGAATGGAACGAATGGAGGAAAGCGAAAATCGGCGGTAGGAAATAAGAATTATAGAAGTAACAGCGGCATAGAAATATAGATATATATATATATATATATATATATGTATAAGAATAGATGATAAGCAAACAATTAATTATAAGAGATAAGCGAGCGAGTAGATGTAACATATTTGTAAAGTAGATTTAAGGAGGGGCGGGGATGGGAGTGTGTGTGTGTGTGTGTATACGAAGGGGTAGAGGCGAGCGTAATAGGAAGTAAGAAGGAGAGATTATATTCGAATTTGTAACCCCGTCAGGGTAATCAATAAAGTATACATACAATTAAATATTGATCGGTCTTCAATTTTCGGTACTGACTAATTCTCTAATTTCTTTATAAGAGAATAAAAATTGATACGAATCTTTCGTTTATTCAAGTTAATTTGTTGAGTAAATTAGAGGGGTAAGTACCTACAAAATAAGAACAAATTGTAATTGCACGTGGACAATTTTCTGACGTTGATTACGATATTGATCGGTCTTCGATTTCGGTACTGATTTACTTTTTCGTTTCTCTATAAGAAGAGGAAAATTGATACAAATCGTTCGTTTATCCGGGTTAATTTGTTGAGTAAGATTAGAGAGGTATGTACCTGAAAAATAAGAACAAATTGTCATTGCACGTGTGCAATTTTTTGACAATGATTTATGGTATTAATCGATATTCGATTTTCGGTGATTTACTCTTTCATTTTTCTATAAGAAAACAGAAAATTAATACGAATCGTCCATTAATCCGCGTTAATTTGATAAATAAATTAGGTATTGATCGGCCTTCGATTTTCGATACTTATTTATTCTCTCATTTCTTTATAAGAGAAGAAAAATTGGTACGAATCGTTCGTTTAACCGAGTTAATTTGTTGTGTAAATTACAACGTTAACGAAAAATAAGAACAAATTGTCATTGGACAATTTTCTGACACTGATTTATGGTATTAATCGGTATTCGATTTTCAATACTGATTTACTCTTTCATTGCTCTATAAGAAAAGGAAAAATTGATACAAATCGTTCATTTCCGCGTTAATTTTTTTTTTATTATATATTTTATTATTATAAGTGGTTCATGGGACGATTAAATATTCAAATATATGTTGCCGTATCAAAGTCTCTCCTCTATATTAAACGATTTGACACGTCTGGAGACGCATGATGTATCGTTGCCCGCATCCCATTCCCTTCGTCCTGCTTCCCTGTATAAAATGTCAAATTGAAACATATTAAAAAGTATTGACATTTTGAATATGTCTGAATTCTGAATTTTTTTTATCTGAAGAAAAGGATTGAAAAGTATTAGTTCCCATTAAATTTTACTGCGCTAAATGCGAGACTTTTTCGCCCGGGTGCCTCACCAGGGAAATTTGTCTGGTACACTAAATCCCGTAAGGCCATCAATCTTTGTAGTATATCTCGTCGGTGCATAAGGTTTATATTACCTGTACATACATATTTTGAAACATTTTCTTTAGATATTATATCAAACGGATTTTGCGTGTCACATAATATCCTTCGGACTACACGGACATTATTATTTTGATCATTTTGATTTCTTTGGTATTCATTGAATTATCCAGAACGCGCAACTGCCATGTTGAACGACTCAATTGTCGTGTGAAATGTTTCGATTTTCACAAATTCATATAAAATTTTTCATTTTTCACTGATTCACAGAAGTCTCACTTTTTATTAGTTTACGTTAGGGAAAAGATTCATGATCGCTGCTCCGAGCAGCTGCAACGCTTTTCGAATCATCTATGTCGGCGCGCTTTTACTCCTCAGATTTCTGTCATTAATAACTCGATAATTATTGCGAATCTCGCAAAATGGTATGGGACTTTTATGTTTATCTTAACCCAATCTACCCTCACACTTCGTGTTGGCAGCTAATTACCGGACACTTCGTATGATTTTCATGATATTAATCATACGCAATGTCAATTCTTATTTTTTTTGTGCATGTTAACATGTTAATTCATGTTACAAACGCGTAACAATGCGCGAGACCATGCTTGTCAAGTAAGCTACTGTGGTTGTAGCACGGACATAAACCGCCTGAAAGTGGATGTAGCACGGACTGCCACCACATGCAGGTTTTACCGCCGAGACCTGAAAGTGGAGATGTAGCATCGTAGTTCCCCTCTCAAAATGGATGCAGAGGGCGCCCTTTCCCAATGAGGAAAGTCGGTGTCGTCGAAAATAGAGTGCCTCTAATCAGAGTGACGACACCTGAATATCTCTTTTCATTGGTCCGCCATGTTTTATCCGTTCCCGCCAGTTATTAAACGAGTTTATTCGCATTTTCGGAAAACATATTATCACAGTAATATATAAAACAATGATACTTATTGTTAACAAATACATAAATGAAAATAAACAAATGGTGCGTAAACAAAGTATTATTTAATGCCAGAATAGTGTTTTATTGCACAAAACATTGTAATCATGTTGCACAACAATTATTGTAAGTACATTTAAATAAACTGAAAATAAACTTGAAATAAACTTGAAATAAACTTGAAACAAACTTGAAATAAACTTTAAATAAACTTGCAACACACTTGCAATAAACTTTAAATAAACTTAGAACTATAATTTAATTAATAGACGTATATAGATTTGCAGTTATTTGAACGAATGATGCATCGCCATGGACTTGCTGTCATAGAATTTACGATTCGGTAATACAATTTTACGTTTATTTTTAAATTGCAAACGCAACGCAACGTAACGCTGGCGTCCAATTATACTTTGTATTTATACGTTCTATCCATTGTCGTCGACGTTCATCATCTCTCGGGATTATTTTCAGAATATATCCCTTTTCTGAGGAATTGTTGCAAAATGGTATGGTACATCCAACCATTTTGCAATAATTAACGAAACTATAAAAACTATAAAAACGAAAATATAAACAGTCAAACGCTTACAGGTTATACGAATGTTTATGTTACTTTTTGCACTATGTTCCGATATTTACGGTCAGTTCATAAATTGTACATTTCATAGATTTTCAGTACTGACGGCGTATGTCTGAACACACCCGATTTCGATAAAACATGGCGGACCTCCCAACTTGTCGCCACTCTGATTAGAGGCACTCTAGTCGAAAACACCGTTGGCCGCCCTCACGTTCCTCTTTGATATATATATATATATATATCATTTTCACTATAGTTTGTTTTAGTAGCTCGGACATTAACCAGACTCAAATCACAGACGCAAACCTCGTATCGTTACCGAGACATCGAGTTAGTTGACGTCTATTTTCTCAGGGGGCGTATCAGGACAGACATATGCTTTCGCCCGGTGGCCGCTCTCAGGTTTCTCTCTGCCAAAACTCTCGAAGGTCAATGCGACCAGTGCTGGGACTGGAACATCTATTGTATGCACAGAGCCATCTATTGAAGAAGAAGATGTAAGTTGATCTGTAGATTGCAGTAGATCTTAACAGGCTCTGTTGAAATTTAGTAAACTGCTGTGGTATGTTGGACACATATTTGATTAAAAAAAAAAAAAAAATTATTCAGATCTTTTGAGAATTATACTTGTAGAGAAATTAGCTTGTAGTAGGTGATTAAAAGAATGGCATTGTAAGGTAGAGGATGATTTACTGAACATTTAGGAAGGGACGCAGCTTATGTAAAAATTTTAAAGAGTATATTAATTTTAAATATATTAATTTAATTATGAATTTATACATAGCACCTGTAAAAATAAGTCTTATTTTTATTAGTTTCAGTCTATTTCAGAAATTTGAAATGGCAAAGCGTATGCAACCAGCTTGGCATCTGCCAGATAGGAAAGACAACACAGTGCTTCAATTGTACAATAGTTTAACCAGAAAGAAAGAAGTATTTGTCCCACAGTTTGGGAATCGTATACTATGGTACAGTTGTGGACCTACCGTTTATGATGCATCACATATGGGCCATGCAAGGTATCATAAATATATATTACTTATATTTTTTGAAGTGTTATTTCATTCAGTATGGTATTTTTCATAATTTGAGAATAGAATATGAGATATTTTATTTATATTTTTATCATTTTATAAATGTATACACATGTAATTGGTCTGTTCTTTTTAGCTGCACTACTGAACTGGTGCAATAAGTTAAAGTGAGAAAAAATATACTCATTCTAACTTATTGCACTAGTTCCGCAGTGCAGCTGAAAAGAACAGACCAATTGTATGTACGTTTTTCTCAATATACAAGATATTCCTATTTAGATGTACACTTTTTTTTTCAGGTCATATATATCATTTGACATTTTGCGTCGTGTACTTTCAGACTATTTTGGATATGACGTTTTATATGTGATGAATATTACTGATATAGATGATAAGATTATTAAAAGAGCTAGACAGAATTATTTATATGAAAAATATGTAGAGGAAAACCATAATCTTAATACTATATTAGATGATGCTAAACAAGTAATGTCTAACTTTGAAAATACTGTACACACTATAACTGATTTGGATAAGAAGTGCATGTTAGAGAATATGCTAAGCAAACTAACCAAAGTTATTGAAAATTTGGAGAAAGCTGTTAGAGAAAAAGATGAACATGAAATTGCAGTACTTCAGGAAGTAAGAAAGATTCATTTAATGTAAAATTGCACATGTACGTATAATTTATAAAATTACTTTCCATAAAATATTAATATATTTTTCATCTGTATATATACAGCTATTATTGAAAGAAGTCAAAGATCTGTTGTCTGACTGGTTGGATCAATTGAAGGGCAGTACTATCACAGAACATTCTATATTCAATAAATTATCTAAACATTGGGAATCAGAATTTCACAAAGATATGGATGCCTTAAATGTAACATCAAACAGAATGTTGATATGTTTAAGACTATGTTAATTTATGAATATTAACTTTGGGATCTATAAATTATTTAGGTATTAAAACCAAGTGTCCTGACAAGAGTTAGTGAATATGTTCCTGAGATAATAGCATTTGTCCAACAAATAATAGATAATGGATTAGCTTATGGAAGTAACGGATCAGTATATTTTGATGTAAGCAAGTTTGACAAACAAGAGAAACATTTTTATGCCAAACTTGTACCTGAAGCATACGGTGATACATCAAGTTTACAAGAAGGCGAAGGCAAGTTTTTTAGAATTTCTAAGTTAAGATATATTTTATATTTTTTGTATTTTAATTTATCATCATTTCTGTATTATTTGATCAGGTGACTTGAGTGTTACGGAAGATAAACTCTCCGAAAAGAGATCTTTGACAGACTTTGCGCTTTGGAAGAGCTCGAAAGCAGGTGAGCCTTGGTGGGACAGTCCTTGGGGTAAAGGACGTCCAGGATGGCACATTGAGTGCTCGGTTATGGCATCAGTGATTTGCGGAGAAAATCTTGATATCCATACAGGAGGCGTAGATCTTAAATTTCCACATCACGATAACGAGCTCGCTCAAGCGGAAGCGTATTTTGATAATTCGCATTGGGTGAAATATTTCCTGCACTCGGGTCACCTGACGATAGCCGGCTGCAAGATGTCCAAGTCGCTGAAGAATTTTGTGACGATACAAGATGCTTTAAAAAAACATTCGGCAAGGCAGTTGAGACTTGCGTTTCTTTTGCATTCGTGGAAAGACACGTTAGATTACAGTGATAATACTATGAATATGGCCGTGCAGTATGAAAAGTTCCTTAACGTAAGTTGCAACATAACTTTTATTATGTCTCATGATTGACATTTTTAAGATCTTTGAGGTTCAAATGTCTGATGAAAATGACAACGCTTCCTATTTTTCAGGAATTCTTTTTAAATATCAAATGTAGAATTAGGAGCTTAGGGAAGAAAACTACTATTGATACTTTTGCTAAATGGACCGATTCCGAAATGGAACTCAATAGAAAGTTTCAAGTTGCTAAACATTCTGTGCACAAAGCATTATGTGGTAAGGTTGTTGGATATTTCGATGATTTATGCTCTCGATAATAAATCCAGATGTATATTGGTGACGAAATATAATTTATTTCAGATAATATTGATACGAGATCTGTTCTTGATACAATACGAGAACTTGTGGTGGATAGTAACGTGTACATGAGCCAAAATAAAAATCCAAATACTCTTCTTCTCAGGGATATTGCTGTATATATTACAAAGATGTTTGTCATATTTGGAGCCATATCTTCAACACACGATTCCATCGGGTTTCCAATTGATGACGAGGCAGTTGGTACAAATGTAAGATAAATACATCGACATGTATTTATATCGAAGAGTTCTTGGCAATTTTTTAAATTTCTACATACAATTCTGTCAGGTGGAAGAGACCGTTATGCCGTATCTTGAAATTCTCGCGAATTTCCGAAAGAAGGTGCGAAACTGCGCGAAAACTTTAAAAGCGAACGATATTCTACAAGAATGCGATATACTGCGCGACGATATTTTGCCAAATGTTGGGGTGCGGCTGGAGGATAGCAACGAGGAAACTTGCAAAGTAAAATTAGTGAATAAAGAAGAGTTACTAAAAGAGAAAGAAATTAAGAAGAATTTGGAACAAGAAAAAGCTTTAGAAAAAGAGAGAAGGAAGGCAGAGGCTGCTGCTGCAGCGGCGGCAAAGGAAGCGCAGAAAAGAATATCACCGAATGATATGTTCCGATTAGAGAAGGACAAATATTCTCAATTTGACGATAAGGTGAGCGTCTTAATACTTGAATTTACATCATTATTATTTCACATGTATTGTTTTGTATATTTGACTTTTTCTTGTGTAGGGATTACCAACGCACAATGCCGAGGGTAAAGAGATAAGCAAAGGTTTATTCAAAAAACTGCAAAAATTGCAACAAGCACAGGAAAAAAGATACAATGAATATTTAACTTTCATACAAAACGGTCTATAACATTTCACACATGAAGTAAACTCTTATATAAAATTATTTTATTTATAAATTTATAATATATACAGAACGACGATTTTGTCTCGCTACTTCTTCATCGTGAAGATAATCATGGTTGCTCAGCATTGAGTAGTATTTTTTTTAACTTCAGTACCGACAATTTTATTTCAGAATTTTGGATATTTGATATTTGTTTGAATTGATTAGATTAATATCATAGAATTACGTTTCCGAAGCCTTGTTCTAAAAGCTTCAATCACACAATATCTTTAATTTAAAATTATTTGTGATATATCTCATCTGTCAGTATTTCTCCATTACATAATTAAATATGTATTACACAATTAAGTATATTAGTAAAATATTAAAAAATTTGTAATTTCATTCATTCTAGCCATGTATGTTATTTTTTTCTTTAATATTACATTATTTACACACGACTACTGTAGGAATACCATTAGACATTATTGTGTAATACATGCTTTTTTTCAAAATAATTTTTTTATTTCAAAGCATTTATGCATTTTTAACGTGGTTTCGATAATACATGCAAAGAGACATAGCCTTATGTGTTAAATTATGTGTTAAATAATTATGTACCATTTGTCACTGCATATAAACACACGTCATACACACATACTCTGTCATTTTAATCCCCATATTACTATTTAGTTGATTTCTCTCATTTTTCTGTTTTTTGTCTTATGAACTCGTCGTGTACCCAACAACGCATAACGAGTGCTCACCGTTGCCGCGTAAGTGAGCGTGCACGTCCGTTAATCCTACAAATCTACAATTAACTCCCCGTAATCACTTTCGCTCAGAGTATATGTGAGTGTGTATGAGCGGCTACAAAAAGAGCGCTCCAGTATCAAAACTTTCGACAGCGTGGTCGTGCTCGACACATAGGTACACACATTGCACGTATCACGTCGATGTGATTCGAAACTGGTCGAACAAAATACATAAATGTTACGTGCGTTTTCACTCTACCGGATGAATTCGACGCGCGATGTTGTCCATTATTAAAACATAATACCCCTTTCATAACACGGTGAGCGCGAACCGACAGTGACAGCTTCGTAAATGCGGAGGCGATATAATGCTCGGCTCGCGGCGTGAGAAGCGAGCGAGCGAGCCGATATTCATCCCACATTCAAAAGCCCGTGAAAACGTCCGTGGCGGACGAACACAGGTCGACCCGTCAGCCGCTTTTCGAACTTGTCGTAAAATACGAATCGCACGTGCGCGCGCATGCGATAATAATGATGTCCAGTCCCGAAAACTTCCCGGGATAATCGGGAAAGCGCGCTCCACCCTCTCTGGCCGATTACAAATTATGTTTCCGGACTGGAACGAAGCGGCCCGTTAAACTTTCCGTTCATTCTTAATCGAGAAAGTTTAATGCGATATCGTGCGCGTGTTATATACACGAGTACGTGTATTATTGTGCTGTGTTTGCAGTATAACAAAGCGCAAGCGGTAGAATACCCTCCTCCTCCCGAAGCCGCGCAATGATTCAATTGAATTTTCTTGTCGAATTTTTGCAGAGATAAGGAAATACGCCAAATATATCAAAAGACTCGTGTTCAGATTCGTATGTAACAAAACGTAATTGTTAAAAAAAATGAATGTACTGAGAATTAAATTTGCTTGTTGAGTTTTTTGCTGAAATTTATCGACGGTTTGTTTTTTATTCATCGAAATCGACGATTTTTTACCGAGATTGCCATTGCTAACTGCTTTAATGATCTCTCAACGTCAGACTGTCAACATACGATTTCATAAAATTTGCTCTTCTACGTATATGATACGACGAGATTTGACAAATTGCGCGAAAAGAAGCCGATCCTCCGAACGGGCGAACGATATTGCCGCTGAATCCTTTTTCCGCAAATCGACGTCGATGAAACCGCGATGTCTTTTTGGTCGTGCATCGCGGTAGACTCGTTTTCTCTCCTTTCCACCGTTATTGGCAGCGATGTGTAAAGAGAGAAAGAAGAAAAAAGCACGCGAGCGACGTTAACAATGCGTGACAGCCGAACGCAAAAAAATACGCTCTCGAATATAGAGTCAAGACAGATGGAAAAGCAAACAGAGACTCTTTCGTTCGTGTCGATCTGTCCCTATCGTTTTCCATTTTCGCGATCCACGCGTGGATGGACGCGTAAATTTTCAGGTGGAAAAATCGCGCCTCAAAATACGAGAATCTTGAAATCACTGATAACCGTCCGTCGCTCTCGAGATACTTGCAGGATGTCACGACGTCATTGGATGTCTTTTTAGCTGTGAATTTTAAAGAGAATCCAAAAAAGCGTTATTTATTTTTTTAACGAGACATAATGGAAAACTATTGAATTTTTCACTTTTGTCGTTTCTTGATTTCGTTTCTGCCATCTGCACACGGAAAAATACATTGTATTCAAGTAGATATGTTTTATATATTTCATAAATTTATCCGGAAATCTATCGCAAGTTTATCACAAAATGAAATTTACTCAAGCTAAATCCTAACAAGTTTAATCTTCATATAAATAAAAATATCAAATTAAAACAAAATGTTGGCTTGATTCTTGCATAAAGTATACGTTTTACAATGTTCTTGAAAAAAGAATAAATTTTTCTTTTACATGATAGTACATGATAGTATAGGATAGTAAGTTAAGTCTAGTACATCATGATAGTAAGTTAAAATTTCTAAAATTCGCTATAATTATATTCTGAAATTATTATCAAGAAAATATATACTTTGTTAAAGATAAGGTATTTCTTAAAAGAAAGTGAACTGAGCGATCGATTTTCATAATAGAACAGAATGACAGCTTTCTCTGTGTGCAAAGTCGATACCGGGCAGGCAGGACATCTGTCATAGAACGATGATTTCCAAACAGCGGATCGATCATCGGGACGATTCGCGAATTTATTTTAACAAATGATAATTTGCAGATATTTCAACTTTTCTGCGAACCAACCTCCTCGTACCAAGCAATCATGTATTAACAATGCAACGGAGGCCAAAAGTGTGCTGCTTACGTCACGGCTCGATAACAAATACCTTGAGATGATGTCTTACCGCAAGGGAGAAAAATGTTGCATTTTCACTTGTCCCAATATTATGTAGTCGTTTGCGTAATGCGAACAATAATAAAGTAAGAAGTATTCGTTTCACGAACAAACAGCCACGAAGACGTAGTGTTATTAATCAACTTTTGTATGCGTGTCGATTGTTAGTTGCGATAAATTAAATGATACTTCGCTCGTTAATTGGTACTTCACATGTACATGTGTATGGCCATACACATACACACGAGAAACTTCGCAAACATTCCGACGAGATAAGCGGTGCCAGGAGCGTCGATTACAATAGCAACGACGCTAAGATACGTAGCTTTGCGCAGGCTCGCCAGAGAGAAAAATACATTCGCAAGTCGCATGGCGTTTCATTTCTGCATCTCGAATTTTGATCATTCCGCTGATAATTTCTCGGACCGCATCCACTGACGCGTAATGGTAAACGATAACCGGGTGCGTCAATACTGCTATATTAACAGCTGTTTGAGTATCTACCAGGTGGTCACGAAGAATATCTCTATTATTGTTTCGAACCGATGGCGATTAATGGCGATGGTGTGACGACGTATCGCACGCGAAGCAATTAAATAAAGTACTGTAACAAACGACACCGTAAAATTTATTCAGAAAGCCACGTATTTAATTAATAATTCTGTTTTTTATCTTTCATAGAAATTCACGACTCAATTAGTAAGATTAATTACTAAGGAAGCTTCACGGTAACATTACAATTAATATTTCTTACCCCTGAAGAAAGGATCGCATGACGATTGCATAGCATTTCAACAATTGAATGAGATATTAATAAACAATACCGCAAAATTAATTCAAGATCGCATATTTCCTCGTTAATCAAGCATTTCCAAGGCTTAAAATCAATGAGATTAATTAATGAAAAAAGCTTCAGGGTGATATCATAACTAGAGATGTGCGAATTATTCGAATTCGAATCGAATCGAATCGAATCTAATGTAATTCGATTCGATTCGAATCTGAATCCCTGTGATTCGAATCTGAATAATTCGAAAATTTCGAATCGAAGGTTCAATTACGAATCAAATATATTAGCGTGCATTATATTTGCATGCATCAAGTACAAAACGAGACATCTGGGCCAGTATGTTTGAATCCTTAACTTGTAATTAACTTAACTTATAATTAATAACTTAATTATAAATTACTTTAAATATTTAAATATATATTTTACTTTAAAATGATATTACAATAACAATATCCCCTTTCATATTAAAACCTTCCATCATTATGTACATGTTTAATAGTCATGTTAAATTTTTTAATGATTCGATTCGATTCGAATTCGAATGAAATTTCATAGATTCGATTCGATTCGAATTCGAATTAAAAAAATGAGATTCGATTCGATTCGACATAAAAATTCTTGATTCGCACATCTCTAATCACAACATAATATTTCCCGCGTAAGAAGAAAGTGACATCACACACTGCAGTAATTAAATGAGATATTAACAAATGATACCTCAAGTTTTGTCGAAGATCGCGTTTCTATCGTTTGTCAAGATTCAGGGCTCAATCAGTAAGATTAGTTAATAAGAAAAATATCGCAATAATAATGCTCATCGCGCATGCGATTGAAGGAAGGATCGCATCACGATCGCGTGACGATCTCATCGCACGACGCTGGGGTTTATTTAGAAGCTAAGCGTGAAGTCCCGATGTCGATAACACAATATCTGAATGACGCGTCAAATAAAGTGGGTGTTATCGGGAATATCGCGCTATTACAATTTTTCCCAAACACTCGCTCCCATGTTCACCGATACATTCCAAGGCACGCTGGGACGTTTGTCCCGCGTTCAATTTCTCCCACGTTGCAGCGTGGAATTTGTTTAGCTCCAGCTAAAATCAAGGGACATTGTGCGCCGGATCGTCGCGTTTCATGTCGACTCGTCGGAAAGCGACTCGCTTCTGCGACTTGCGAAAACGCGAGTGTGACGAGCGGCCGCGCGATGACGGATCGCGATCGTCCTGCGACACCACAGCGTCCCTCGCGACCGGCGCTCCTCGACGACGACGGGAGGCAGAGGGTCGACGAACCAGCCAATCGTGCGGGGGCCCGTGCACCTGAATTCTAATGAGGCCCACCTGGGTATATATGAGCTTAAGCTCGCGCCTTCAGTCGCGATTTTTCTGAAGTTATCTGTCCGTCGCGCAGGTGAGTCCTTCTGCTCTTCGTTCTCTCCTACGCCGCGGCCCTCGCGATATTCCCAGTGGAACGTTTCTACCGCGATGTTATCGCCTCGCGAGCTTTTCCCTTATTATCGCGTTTCGTTCTTTAATTCGTCAATTTTTAGTCGCGTTGCTCTTGACATGATAATTTCTATTTTTGAACTTTTTTAATTTTTTGAATTTTGAATTTTTGAGTTGGTGTGTAAAAGATACCGCGGGGACGGCCGATAAAAAGAATGAAAGATCAGGATCACGAAGACAGCCTGCCTGCCGGTTTGTTTTCAGCGTCTGAATGTCATGTTGCCTCCTTATAATTGGCTCCTCGGCTTCGTGACAGCGAATTATTCCGTCAATCGCTCGTTTTTCTCGAAAACAAGCAACAATCGGTCGTGACACGCGATGCATGAGAAACAGTGTAGATAGGGACTTCGCGGATTCTCTCGCAACAACATAGCGGAAGCGATAAATTGAGAGTTATGCCAACGGTGGGGACGCAAGAATATATCGACGTGAGTACAGTGTGTGACGGATTCAATTCACTGTTCGATTTACTCGCGATTGTGCGCAGTGGAAGTAAAGCAGCTTGATCTCGTGAAAGAGAAAAAAAGAAACACAGTGAGCTACCGGATAAGCGGGTGACTCGATCATTTCAGAAGCGCGACATTCTTTCCGGGGTGTTGCAATGCGGCAAATTGTATTTTCCGCACTTTTGTTCATGCGCCAGCTGATCGGTGTCGACGAGATATACGCGCGCGATTACAGACACGGGTTTCCGCCGCGGACAAACATTTCACCTACGATGTCTTTAGTTGGGCGGCCAAAGATCGACGGGCAAAATGTGCGATAATTAACAAAGCGTGCGCCCACGTGTATCTGGTGTGATTCACGACGACATCATCTCGCGCATGAGCGTCATATGGGCAGGCGGCCCTGCAGAGAGAGAGTTTAACGAGCCCGCTTTTACTGCGGGCTCTATCGTTCATTAAAAACCGATTTACGATCGCGTCTGTCATCTCGATCGTCGTTTTCCATTAAGCCGCGTTCCGCCGGTCCCGTTGTCGATAGCGAGTTCATCAACGATATCGCGCCATCGTAAAACTCGACGCCGCTCTGCCTACGCGCGAATCCGCTGGAATCTCGAGGGGTTCGTCGACACGAGAACCGAGAGAGCCTCCGCTCTCCTTAATTATTTCGTTTTTCTTTCTGCCCCTCGTCGACCGAAACGAAGGTCAACCCGTTACACCTACGTCGGAAACGCCTGGGACAACGGCTCGTTAAATTTTCGTCTCGGGCTTTTCTTTGTCATTTACGAGTGTCCGTTTCGGCATTCGCCGTCGTTATTAGATCGCGAGGCCGCTCCTTGTCGATCGTTCCGGGACGTCCGGAGAGAAAAATCGACGCTGCGCTTCCCCGCGTGCCTCGTCAGGACGATTCCTCTTCGCGAAGACGACTCTCGCTCTCTCGTCATCGAAACGTCACTTTTGGCTGCTCTTTTTCTCTCCCGCGAGAAAGAGACGCGATGTCGATGCCGAGATGCTCTCGTTGGAATCCTTCGAAACTCGCTCGGGTCCATTTGCTTCCTTTTCGACGGTGCCGTAGCGAAGGTCAGACCGGAGGTGTGCCCGCGTAAGCCGCGAGAGACTCCTCCGGCCGTATTACCATATTAAAAAGAAAAAGAGGAAAGGAGCTGAGATTTTCGTAAGAGTTCACCGTTACCGGCGAGCGAGCAACGTGATCGATGCCGAATAACAAAACATTAATTAACATCGAGCGAACGGGCCGCGAACCGTTACCTTGCCTCGCTCGTACAAAGCGAGCAACGCGATCATAGCACGCGAGGATACTCCTAATGACGTCTCTCCGAGGGCCGGCCTCTCGCGAGCCGTCTGTAGCTTCATCCTGATGACGCGCGATTGTTCGCATGCGGACGTCGTTCTGCGTCTTTGTTCCTCGTTTCATCGCCGATCGCTGCTTCACGCACTTCCATGCTCTGGGCGTGTAGAAAACGATAAAACTTACACTGCATACACTGTAAAATTGTCCTTCCTCTCCTCGATTCTCTGGGCTTATAAAATGACGGCAGGTTGTGTAAGATCTGTCTCGTATGACAAAGACTGAATTTCCGTTTCAACATCTTCGGTCAGAGCAATGCCGTCCATGCAGCCGATAGCCGCTCAGCATAAACTTTCTTTAATCTTATTATTAAAGCTTCTCGCCAATAAGAGTTTTTGCAAAAAGGGGAAAAGATTTTTAGAGATAATTGTATAAAATTATATATAATTTTTTAATACGTAATTGTCCGTACGGAAAAACTGCTGTTGAATGAAAACGAGAGAAAAATAGTTCGATTCAATTAAATTCCGACATTGTGGGCTGTTACAGACATTCTCTTCAATTTTATTCATGCAACAGGATTCTTTTCGATGCGAACATCTACTATACGACGTGAGTCTACCGGCGATTATCGTTTTCAGTCGTAGGGTAATTCTACCTAGAGTTAAGGCGGAGTAAAAGGATTAGTGGGTGAATTCCAGCAATTGTCAAAGTGATCTGAACGGAACGGAGCGAGGTGGCAATCGCGGCGTCGTGAAAATGTACGCAATAAACGCATATCTTGGAGCAACGGCGGGCGTCGAGGACTCGCTCGTCGACCGCGGCGAGTTTGTATTCAAAGTTTAACGAGCGGAACAGAAGTCGCGGGTGCCGATGCATCGCGCATCTTAATTCGCGGGCGAGGATCCTGCTGCGAGACCCGCACGCACACTATGCGTTCGTTTATTTTTAACCGCCGTGGCATTACGCGTCTCTTTATCCCGTCACGGTGGCCGTAGAATCCGAAGGACGGTCTTTGATTCCTCCCGGGAGACTCGCACGTCTTCGGCCCCGCCGGCGAATTCGGGGATCGTTATTCGGCCTCCCTGGCTGAAAGAGAGAAGGAACTTCGGCGAGGATTTTATAACTTCAAAACAACGTCCGCCCCCTTCGCCGCTCGCGAAGGTCCCGGGTCGTTAATCCCTCCTCCTCCCCCTGTGGTCGCCTCGCGACAAACCCGTAACACCGGTATTCGCGATCGTCTAACGCGTGGCGAGCGCGTGCGAAAGCGAGCGTTCTCGCGAATTCAATAGCCTCTTCTTCTCCCTCTCGTCGCTCTCCCGTTTTCGCGCTTCGATTCGACGAAGCTCGCTCGAGCGACGTTATTTCCGTCGGCCGCGAGGCGCGAGTCTGTGGAGCCGCGAATGAAACGCGCGAGCGCGTCACCGGCACCGGAGAGATCGTCCGTTACTTCCGTCTGCTTTTCTTACACGCTAACGGCGATCGCGAGCGTTGCGCAATTTTACGCGGGAATAAGCCCAGGCTATTTTCAGCCAGTGTGCGTTTTATAATGCCACAAAACTGTATTACAGTCGTAATTCTGTTTCCTCCGTATCGCGCGAAAATTGCGCCGCGGAATTCTCGGGACGCGAGTAGTCAGACGTGCGCGATCTTTCGTTCCCTCCGCAGGAGAAGGACACAGCCTCATTGTCGGCTTCAATTACGGCGTCCCGTTCGGAATCGTCGAGCGTGTCCTCGGGAATTTTTAATCGCCGAGCGCGATGCATCGGGATTCGCGAACGATTTTCTCCGTTTGCTCGCAACCGGATCCTCCCAGTTCGAGTTTCACCCGGCTTCAACATCCGGCTGAAGGGCGACCCAACGGGAAGAGGGAATTGTTTAACGAGAGAATTAATTTATTCGCCGCGATTGAAGCTAAAAGACTCTCTGTTTCTTTTCGAGCTGCTCGATATCAGCCTCGATATATATCTTCTTTAATCTGAACTTAATATATTAATAACTATACACTAAAATTATATACGGCGAGACTGGTGACCGTTATCTCGTACTCGCCTAATTCTGCTCGAGGATAGATCGATAGGTTGGTCGGACTGGAATAACTGAATATTTAATCTCGTAGAAACAGTTAGACACCAAGATTAATATCCATCGACTAAAGGACGATTATAGCGCGTTCTCTATAATTATTATACGTTATCGGAGAATATATATGCGTAATAATAAAAGATGATGAACGACGGCATTGTCCTGCTCCCGTTTTACGCTAATAGACTTAGTTACTGCTGTTTATAGACATCGGATAACCGGGCTTGTCCAACATCCATTCCGTATAATTAATCAAACGCAGAAATAATCTTCGTGCTGGAAATATAATATGATATTCATGAAAAGCCGAAGATCGCCGCTCTTCATAGAAGCTCTTCATTTTACAATTGCCCGGCAACTCTTCTTCCCATTTCCGTCCGTGAGGATTTCGTTCATTCCTCAAGATCGAAATCGAGCCGATTTCGAAGGATCCACATCGTGCCTCGATCGCGCGTCGATGTATCGTCCTCGCTGCGTGCACGTCGTTTGAAGATTTCACGTCGGTGTCAATGTTCACTGTCCCGTTCCAGAGAACCGGTCGTCATAGATCATTCCCCTTGAGCACGACGACATCGCGATAAATCGATCGGTTTACGCTCCAAGGAGTTTCCGCGGAGGTCCGACGAAGCTCTCGGACAACCGGCCGCGATACAGAAACGTGTCGATTGCCGAGGAAACCGCACGAAGAGTTTCAAACGCGCGGCTTTAGAGTGTATTTTCGAAGAGAAAAAGTGCGCGCGAAGTTTCTTTGGAAAGGCAAGAGAAAAAAATCAGTACAAAAATTTCGAAATTCTCGTAGATGTTTCTGCACGCTGAGACAACGATATGCATTAATTTAACGACAATTACAAAAAATACGAAAGAGATAAATTCTCCAAGGTTCTCAAAAAAATTGTGCAACGTAGCTTGAAAGAGTCCGAAAGAGCGGTTAACGATTCCAGGATGTTTTCATTAAAAATTTTCATGATTGTGCTTATTTAGATTTGACACGTCGTTTCATTGGATTAATTACAGATTTCAAGATGACATATTCGGGAAAGCTGCTATTTTCTGTCCCCGTATTCCTGGCATTGCTGGCGTACGGAGCAACCGGTGAGCTACCTGCCACTCATTGATAAGATATTGATAAGATACAGATAGCGCGGGAAAAATCGATTTCAGCTATAGTGAAAAATATTAACGTTAAATCGAATACTCGCACTTAATCGTTTTTATGCACCACGAAGGACGCTAGGATTTCTTTTCGTGTTTCACATATGCGACATGTACATGTGCATTATGTGAACTATTAATTTGCATTCTTTCATTAAATAAATTGTAAAAAGTATAGGTAAAAGGTATTTATTCTTAAAATTAATAGACGAAAAACGCAATAAAAATTTTTATTTTAGATTATTCTTCTATATTTCTCTATCGTGAACACTGAAGATTTTTACATTACCCACTTTAATCGCTATCTTTATTTATTATTTCTTTTTTATCACGTTGTTCTTGTATGCCACTTAATTGATTTAATTTGTGTCGCATTTGAAATCTCGCTTGATTTGAACTCGAGGTTTCTGCATTCTGAAAAAAAATTGTTGTAATGACCAATTTTTATTGGCTGCATAAAAGTTTCCTGTTACAACGATTTAATTATTAAAATAGCAAATCATAATATCAGTCTATAATTTCGGATAGGTTAATGCAACCAACTTTCAAAAGTAGTAAATAGTTGGTCACATTAGGCAACTTCTTCTTAGCTGAGATAGCTTTACCAACTGGATTAATGAGACAGTTGGCTGGCCTGGCAACTTAAATTTGTTGTTCAGGCAGCAACCGGCGCGCCGGCGATAGTATATTATTTTTGCGATAAGATTTTATTGACGCTTGTCGAACGGACATCTAGCTAACTTAGTGTATGCACGTTTTTCGCTTCGCTCCAAATTTATTTTTACAAAGATAAAGATTTCATATTCTGTTTTCTTTGAGAGGAGGTGAGAGGATCTGTTGGTGAAACGAAATAAAGACAAGAAATTGTAAAATATATAGACATAAACCAAATAAACTATTTTCTTCATTTCTGGTTTCTTTATAGACTTCAATCATTATCACACAGAAAAAAAAAGTTATTTACGGTAGCTAAAATTCGTGTGCTATAGCTAAAATAGTTGTAATATATGGACACCTGAAAATATTGTTGCGTTAGTCACTGTTCTTTTACTGCAGGAGTAAATTTTCTTGCTGTGGAATCGATATAATAACATGTTAATTTTATAGTAAAAGAATTTGCTTCTATAATAAAAATATAACTAACGAAGCAATATTTTGAAGTGTCCATATATTACAATAATTTTTTTCCTATGTAAATGGTTTCAGTAATCAGTTAAAATGGTCGTAACAATATGCACAGTATAGCCACGCAGAAGTTTGTTAGATAGAGCAATCAAATAACAGACCATCTCGTAAAAATCATTTAGCTGCAGTAACCAATTAACAAATCGCTGCAAAATAGGCCGTTGGTTGAAGCAACAAAGCCACGTATTTATTCCAACCAAATTTATAGCAGCTTTGAAAATTGGTTGCTGCAGCCAACTAAAATGCTATGCCATATTTTACTATCTAAATTGGCTGCAGCAGCCAATTTTAGGCTGTAGCAGCCAATTTTTTCTTCCAGTGTGGATGTCGAAGAATACCTGTAACAGAGAAGTCAGCGTAATTTAGACATAATGCTAATTGCATCATTCATGTTGCAGAATCTCCAAAGTTGGTTTGTTACTTCAGTAACTGGGCTATCTACCGGCCGGACGTAGGCAGCTATGGCATCGACGACATCCCCACTGATATGTGCACGCACGTTATCTACTCCTTTATCGGTGTGAGCAACGTGACGTGGGACGTACTCATCCTCGACCCTGAACTCGACGTCGACAAAGGTGGCTTCAAGGACTTCGTCGCCTTGAAGCATAAACATCCGCACCTGAAGACTCTGGTCGCCATCGGTGGGTGGGCCGAGGGTGGCAGGAAGTACAGCGCAATGGTTAGTGATCCAGCCAAGCGAAACTCGCTCATCAACGGCATCGTCAGTGAGTACACCACTTCTGTTAGTACGCAGAGCTAAATTTGCGAAATTAACCAAAAATTAGTATGCTGTTGTCATGACGTTTCTTCTCGCGGGAATTTAGATCGATGTTCATCGCGGATTGTAAGCAGTGAGAAATCTAATGAAACCCTCGATTTTCTTGGCAGATTTCATGCATAAGTACGGATTCGACGGTTTCGATCTTGATTGGGAATACCCGGCTGCTACCGACAGAGGCGGCACTTTCAGCGACAAGAACAACTTCTTTTACTTTGTCGAGGAGTTGAGGACCGCGTTCACCAAGGCGGGAAAGGACTGGGAGATTACCATGGCGGTGCCGATGGCCACCTTCCGTCTCAACGAAGGATATCATGTGCCGGAGTTGTGCGAGTAAGTGATTGCTTGTCGTTTTTGCTGGTAGACTCATTTTTGCAGCAATCGCGCGATGATAAAATAGAAATTACATGACATGAGGCTTTGCACATGAGCGTAATTAATACTCATTTCGACACTTTATTGAGGATCCGCGTTTTAGTAAAATTTTTGAACATGGTTGCAACTTGAGACAAGTTGCTGCGCCTTGTTGAAACAAATAAAACTTGTTAAAATAATCAAAACAAAATTAATAGCAAATGTGCTCTAAAAATGAATCAACAGATATTTATACCCTGGCTATGCGAGCTCATTTACTTGATTACAATAAAATTCCTAAATTACCGCGACTGTGTTTAAGAATTTGATCAAAAAGGGTCTGCACAGTGTAACGTGAAATGTTTTCAGCATGTAGTAAATAAGGTGCGCATTAAGACCAGCTCTTGGCCGAATGTAATTATGCTATATTCGTTCATTTCTGGAGCCGCTTTATTATCAATTTTACCGTAATTATTTAATTACTTTCGCAGGTTGATCGATGCCATCCACGTGATGTCTTACGACCTTCGAGGTAACTGGGGCGGCTTCGCAGACGTCCACAGCCCGCTGTATAGGAGACCTCACGATCAGTACGCCTACGAAAAACTGAACGTGGTATGACTTTCACATACTTAAAACATAATTTACGCGATCACGTAACACGATCGATTCGCTCGTTGACGATCTGTCCCGGCGTATCGATCAATAGCCGATTACAATCGTCGCCGTTCGCAGCACGACGGTCTTCAACTCTGGGAAGACAAGGGTTGTCCCGCCAACAAGCTGGTCGTAGGAATCCCGTTGTACGGGCGTACCTTCACCCTCAGCCAGGGCAACAGTAACTACAAGCCCGGAACTTATATCAACAAGGAAGCCGGCGGCGGCGCGCCCGGCAAGTACACCGCGGCCAAAGGATTCTTGGCTTACTACGAGGTAGGCAATCGATCCAGGCTGAAACGAGCGCGAGCGATATTAGGCGAGCCGCGTTTATGACGTCGCGATGTTACTGCTTGCAGATCTGCATGGAGCTTCAGGACCCAAATAACGGATGGACCAAAGATTACGACGACATCGGCAAAGTGCCGTACGCGTACAAGGGTGAGTTTAACCGCGAAATAGAGACTCATGGTGCGGATTCTCGTAAGAATTATTAATCCTTCAAAGTCGAACAATTTCGCTCTCTACTTTTTATTAGACAAACACGACAAATTTTTTCCCATCTTAATTATTAAAGGAAATAGAATTCTCTTGTGCGACTGAGTACAGAAAGAGATTCGACGATTATTAAAAAAAGAATCATACTCGCACAGCAATCATCTTACTTCGCGTCCGCAGTCGTTTCTATTGTAGAGTTTGATCGCTATCGAGCGAAATTACTCTTCAATTCGACATTTACGAAAGATCCGGCTTAAAAATGGCGGTAGTTAAAAGCTCCTGTTTCCCGTGATCCTCAGGCACTCAATGGGTCGGCTACGAAGACGTCGACAGCATCCGCTACAAGATGGACTTTATCAAGGAGAAGCAGTACGCCGGCGCCATGGTCTGGGCTGTCGACATGGACGACTTCAGAGGACTTTGCGGTGACGTGAAGAACCCCCTCATGACCGCTATTTACAACGGCCTGAAAGGATACACGGTACAACCCAAGAAATACGACACCACCCCCAGGGTAAGGCGCTCGAATATATTCAAATATCAATAATCACAGTATGTTCATCATATGAGCGTAAATATCTCAGTAAACATCAAGCATTCGACGAGAATAAATGGCAACCGAACACGGCAATCGCGATTTGCTTTCAGCCCGACTGGGATAGACCGCCCAGCACGCCAGCCCCGAACGGCGAGACCAGACCAACCACACAGGCACCCCCAAGGCCCACTGAGCAAACTCAGAGACCTACCCAGACACCTACCGACCGACCAACCATGAATCCACCAGTCGATGACGGCGAGGTCGTTTGCAACGGCCAACATATGATCCCTGGCAAGGAATGCTCGACGGTAAGTTTGCTCGCGTCTACGCTCAAGTCGAAGAACTGTTTCGACTGTTATCAGCATCTCTCGCTGTCGCTCGAATACCAGGCGTTTTCAAGTCTTCTTCGTGGTAAGAAACATGCATAAAATAAGAGCATAAAACAAGAGCTCTTTTCTGTGTGACGCGAGGCGAAGCGCTTCGCGATATGAGACTTCGAACTATTGCGAGCGATACAATCGGCAACTTGTAGACTTGAAGGCTCAAACGTTACAACTTGCCACTCATCGATGCAACTGTTGCACGCGTAACGTACGTTATATCGTATCTGCATTGTGTGAGAAATTATAACATTGATAGAACGCTGCTGTCAATTGCTGTTCATCGGGCCTTATTTCAGTCTACATCAGCATAATTTGGAACATGTCGTCACCTCTGTGTGTGATCACGTTTATCTGTTTACAGTATTACCTCTGCAACCACGGCAAACCCGAAAAGCGTCAGTGTCCACCCGGTTTGATCTTCCAAATATCCAAGTTGATCTGCGACTGGCCGGCTAACGCCGATCGCTTGGAATGCAAGAAGTGATCTGTGATCCGGTGATTTGATCCTACCGATTTCTGCACCTTTTACCACCGTTTTTCGTCAGCTCATGGATCGCGGAGATTCATGGGGGATTTTATCATGTAATAATTTTATACGATAAGAATCCGTTACGTTTTATTATCTGCTGTCGCGTATGAGAACGTGTGCGCGTGTGCGCATGTGCATTCATAAGTTGATGTGGAGCGACATCGCCGCGAGGCACAATAAATCATGCGCGGTTCAACAAAAGTCAGAGAATTCATTCGACGAGACGACTGCTCCTGTCCTCTATATTCCCCTCCCCCCGCATAACGCATCGATCGTACGATATCTCAGGGTGAATTTAGAGTGCTAATGGCGATCCGAAAAAAATCTTGGCTATTATTATCTTCAAGGTTTGGACCACACAGTCAATTTCGAGACAGAACGTTGTCTTTCGATGTTATTTTTTTAAGCGACGGAAGACACACGCTCTCTTGAAACGGTATCATACACCGAGGGCCAAGAGATTTTGGAAATATAGAGTCTCTTTTCCAGAATGGAAGGTCCAATTTATATGCCGTTTCTGGAAATAACGAGCTGAAATCTCGTGATGCGAAGCTCCAACCGAACCGAGCTGGACGTCTCGTACATTGATAATCCTCTTATACAATATTCATGTCTTATCGGCTTATAAGGCGAGATATATTCACTTCACGCGCCGGGAATAACTTATGAATCGCGAGTTATTAAAATCATTTGACTGTCACGCCGATTACCATTGATTGTCTCAACGTTCGCTTAAAGTTTGACTCGCCAAAGACGCGGCAAATAAATGCAATTCGCGACGTTTATATGTCGTGGAGCTCCCCTCCCTTTCGCTTTCTATCGGCCGTATTCAATTCGTTTCACGCGCAGTTGCTTGGCTACATTTCACACGTGAATCAGTGATACGCGGCACAACATTATAACGCTGCTGTCCATCATGACGGCCCGAGGTGTTAATGAGCGAAGTAACTTATAAAAAGTCCGCCGATGCGAAAAGAGTCTCCAGGGTGAATCGACGAGCGCGATCCTCGCTCGGGATCCCATGGTGGAATCGAACGACTCTGTACACCACGATACGCACTCGTTTCCGGCTTTCCGCCGTTATTGGCAGCAACGTGTGATAAAAAAGAAGACAAAGTGTGAGTTGACGTTAACAATGCGTGACGGTTGGCGCAAAAAATATACTCTCGAATATGAAGTCAAGAGTGGTGAAAAAGCAAACAGACTTCCCGCTCCCGTAATCTGCCCCCTGCCCCTCCCTCCTCTACTGTCGACCTCCGTTCGCGCGGTCCTCGCGTGAATGAATACGTAAATTTTTAGCGGAAAAATCGTGTCCCGGGCACGGCACCCCAAAGTCCAAAGATCCCGGCCTTGATTGACACCTGAATGTTCTCGTATGCATATGGAACCGCCCTCCATCTCGCGATCTCTCCCTCCCTCCCTCCCTCGCCCTCTCTTTTCCCGTTCTAACTATTTCTCTCCCTCTTTTCTTCTCCGTTCCGCGCTCCGCACAATCTCGTCCACTCCCTCGTCCTTGCGCATTCCGTTGCGTCGCTTTCATCCGGAAACGGAATTTGGTAGTTGTTATAATTTAACGAGCACGTTTCTTTCTTCCGTCACTGAGGCATTTGCGAGAATGCACACGGCAAAGCCCACACGGCTTCCTTCCTCCTCTTCCGTTACTCTGCATAAGGCGGCTCTTTCTCGTTGCGCTGCGCTCGTCGTGCGTTTTTTTCTTCTCTCGCTGAAATCGCAACGGAAACGAAGATGAGAACAAAAAAAGCGAGCGAGCAAGTCGAACGCGCAAACGAACGGTTCGTTTCACGTGTCAGAGGGTGCGCGATGTGACGTAACAGCCTGAAAATTAGAATAACGTCTGATAGACTGTAATTCGAACGATTCGAACGTTCGCATTGTGACTCGGATTCCGCGACTTTCTCGCAACGGTCGTTCTCGCGAGCCTCACCCCAATCGTTGTTCTCAACGCTCGTTGCTTTCGTGTACAGAACTGAGCGAGGTAATAAAGCTTTGAAAATAATCGACAACGATCATCTCCAGGTATCGTATTATTTAATATGAAATTAAGCGAAGGAAAATTAAGAGTTGAATTGAAATTAATCGCACGAAAAAACAGAAGGATCAGAAGAGAAGCTCACTCGAGGGCGAGTCAGAGCAGTTATTCGTAACCTTCTCAGAAACGCCTGTTTCGAAAATGTTTCACTTCCTTCGAGACGAGGTTTATCCATTACCTCATCGCTTCGCCCGGCAACATTAATTAAATCATCTCTCCGAAACGAATAGCGGGCGCGTGCCGACACACAGTATCATCCGAGCGACACATAAATAATACACTGTTGTTCGTATTTCGGGAGCCAGCGACCCCATGTCAGCTTTTTGCGGCATGGGGAACGAGGGGCGTCGAGAGAGACCACGGAGCCCACTTTTTATAACTCCATCGACAATTTTCGGTTACCCTCTTCACTATTGCCGATCACCCATACATCGTTTTATGAGCGGCCCTGCCGCGTCGCGCCATTACTAGGTGTCAGATTTTCGACATCGGCTCTCGGTATCGGCTCGACCCATTCTGATACTCAATTATAACCGAATCATAACTCGAGCCTAACGCTGACAACCAATGCTTGGCGTTGGTTTTCTGCGTGTAGCACGTGCGAGACTTCTTTTATAATTTACACGGTAAACATTTTCTTCACGCTATATACGAATCAATCTCCATTGCGTATCGTAATCATACTTAAATAAATCCATCATCTATCTGAACGATACAGCACATATGATGATAAGAGCGCACGTGGACAGATTTCGAAAAAGAAAGAGTGTACATTTTACGGTTGTACGACGATTGTAATTACATATCATCACGCAGATAAACACGTTAAATTTTCGAAGAGAGTGCTTTCAACCACTTCCACCTTATATACATATTTGCTTGTTGATAATATTTCGACCAGCAATATACGTCGATATAATATATTTTTATCGTATTAGTACCGCAGGTCCAACCTCTTCCTCTTTTTCTTTCTTTCCTTCGTCGACGCGTAACATTGTCACCGTGCCTCGCTTCCGTCAAACGACTCACCGCTCTTCGATAACTTTGTGCAAAAATATCGAATAAACTGCAATCTAAAACCGAGACTGTCACTCTTCCGATGAGAGTGCGACAGTTTCTCTATATCATCGACAAATTTTGTGTGCTGCATTAATAAATCCATTCCACCTGAACTAAAAGTCAATCCGCGATTAAAGATACGACTTTGATTTTGATTTTGATTCGAGCAAATCGAGGAAAGAATGAGGGGAATCACATTGGAGAGAAAATAATCTTCCATTCGCTGAAGCGTAAGAATAAATTATCATCTAATATTTATAGCTTGCCTTCCCCATTTATGTTTCATTGTTTGCTCCGCTGAATTGAGTATATAAAGATTTGTCACAGTCTTCATTCTAGTTTTAATGCAAGCGGTTGATGACAAAAGAATTCTCAATTGCAACGGTACTCACGTCACATTACTAATTACACGACACATTACTAAAACAGCGCTGTGAAAAATTAATTCTAAATATTATAAGCCACTATGTGAATAAACAACGCTCGATTACTCATCAATAACGATTGGTGACGCATTCAACGTCATCGAACGACAGATTCTTCGTCGATGCTTGACAGTCGCAGGTCGATCGGGCTTATATGAGCGGCTCGAGACGCGTCCATATCCTGCTGTTGGATTTCTCTTCTCACAGGAAGGGATGCGATTCTCGGCGCTTCCCCGGCGCCGAATTTCACGATGCTTGCGCCTTCGCCCGTGCCTTCCGTCCGTGCTAATAGCGTTCACCTCGCTTTGATTTGTGCGACACGTCGAGCGGGAGCAAGCCACTCATTGTCGCATACATATAATTTCGGCGAGCAAAAAAGTCATTCGTTTCGCCAGTCAGCCCGGCATGATCCGATTCCGCCCAGCGCGCCCGTGTAATCGTGCCCTTTTATGCTAATCGGCAACCCTTCCGCGTTTAACCAGCTGCGCCGGCGTCATTGTCTCGGGCTCTCTCGGCGAGCTTTTTCTTGCCGCGCGCGGCGTGCGTTCACGAGCTTGTTTTGTTACGTCGCCGCGGTGGAAAACAGGACGCACGCGACCATCGCTCCTGCGCGGCCCCGTGCCACCCGGATCGCTTTTTACCGCCGCCGCGCCGCGTCGACGGCGGCGATGGAAAAAAAGGGTTGCGCGCCCGAGGGTGGGTGAACGTCGCGCGCTCTGCATTGCGTGCTTGCTAGCGAAAAAACGAGAGGGAGACAGGGAGAAAGGGCTTAGGGAAAAACTAGTGCCGACGCGCGGTCGGAAATCCGCGTAACGCGCTTTCCTCGGCGCTCGCGCGTGCGTTCCGTCGACACCGATTTGCGGATGCCGCGTGTGCCCTCTAATACACGGGCAATGGAAGAAGCTGTGTCTGTGAGCGTCCAAGACCTGCCCTCGCCGGTGTAAGGGAGGGGAAGCCTTTTAACCCTTTTACCCCGGAGGACATGCGCACTGCAAGCGAACGTCGCAATGCAACCTCGGTAATTGCTGCACCCGAGACAAAATGGCAGGCTCGGCCGCGCCGTTTGCGCGGCTATGGCGCGTCTCGCGGAAAACATCCCCCCCGAGTCTCACCCCTGGCTCGACGCGCGGGAATCGCGCGCTGCGAACGCAAGCGACGAAGATGGAATGGACCGCGGCTCTATCGCGGCCACGTCGAGATAAAGCCGATCGATCAGGCGGAAAACGGGCCAACGGAGCAAATTAAATCGCTCGTCGCGCTTACGTCGTTTGTCGCGAAACAGCGACACGTATTTCGCCGGCCGGCGTCGACGCGCGCGATCGCGCATCGGACAATCTGTTATCGACACGCATCACGGATACGCAGGATGTGTGACACATGACGCGCCGCCGTCAGCGAGGTCGTAACAGCGTGTCTCTAATAATTGAGCGTTGGAGTCGACGCGCCGACGGGGACGATCGCCTCTGCGGAAGCCGCAGTGCCGCCGATGTAGCCGGGGCTTCATCGCAGTGCGGCCTCGCGATTCGCCGTCGCGTGTCGGAGTTACTTACTCGCGACGTGCGGGCGGTGGGCGACGATAAGCGACATTACCGCTCGATCGGCGAATTTCTCGTCGATCGACTCAGTCCGCCAAGATGCGTTCGCTTGGGCCGCTCAAATCATCCGCC